GGGACCTGTATGGATGAAGGGACGGGCACTCACTAACGGTAGAAATGCCCGCGGGGCCCTCACTCAAAATAGGCCAGGGAGTCCACCTACTTCTATTCCGATGAATTAATTTACTGTACACTCTGACGTTGAAACTGAGACTATGAACTCAGTTTCATTTCCTACTATTATCTTCACTAACAATGCTCTGACTCAGCTATCAAAAGCAAAATTAAATTGATTACAAAGGGTTGGATGGCAACAGGTCCCAACATACAGCGTCTGCTACTAAATCCGTGGATTATATTCAAAGTTCCCACTAAACAAAGACGGGGAAACAGAGAAAACGGCGGACGTTTCCACTGGGGGACTCAGAAGGTTTTGTGGACGTTTGAGCGTAATATGAATCCTTAAGGTTTTCAGGTTAGCCGTCATCACGATCATGACAGCTGATTAAAACTTACTTGAGATCATCAATTCAGCAAGAACGTTTGAACAGTTTGGCAATTATGTCCATTGAATCTGAAATTAGCAGGAGTTTAAGCTTAGACAAAATTCTAAAAGACTTTGCAGAGAAAAAAGCAAGAAATATAACTTTCTCATAATAAAAGGCAATAATAATATGACTCATTTATAATTTATGAATGTTAATAGAAATCCCAAAAAAGATAATTTGTTTCCAATGCACTTAAATTCTGATTTTTTTTCTGAACAAAAAATAAATATTTTTAATAAATCATTAAACAGTCACTAAAACAAGTGGTATTGTAACTATGTACTTTTCAGAGGTGATCTACACATTTTGTTTGTTACTTGTAGGCTTACATGTATGCAATTTTATATTAAAATGTAGCTTAGATCTGTTTGGTCCATTAACTCGCATGCACTTTTTAAGCGCACATTTTGATTACTTTCCATACTACCATAGAGATATAAAGTCTATAATAGACTTTATTTATATGTCTATGATTCTACAGACCTTGGCTGGGAACCTCGGGCCCACCAAAATTGTTCCCAATTGGGCCCCGCACCTCCTAAGGCCGGCCCTGCTTGTAGCCACTGAATTTGAAAAGGTGGTGTTCTTGTAGGAGTGTTACTTGTAGCAGTACAATGTCAAGCTTGTCCTTGGCTGCTGTTTCCTGCAGGTGTTTCTTGTTTTTGATGCCCTGAGCATTCCATGAAAGGATGTTCAGGGTGCTGGTGTTTTCCACCACTGTTTCATCGGGGACTTTTGGTGATCCTTGATGGATATGTTCAGGTCTGATTCCGACTGGATGAGGTTCATATCTTCTTGTCCTAGCGTGGATAGAAGACTTTCTACATGACCGCAAGCAATGTGTGGTGATTAATGGCACGAAATCGTCATCTGTACCTGTAACAAGTGGGGTACCGCAGGGTAGTGTATTGGGCCCGCTGTTGTTTGTTTGTTTCATAAATGATATGCCTGACGTTGTACACTCCTCCATACAAATGTTTGCCGATGACGCCAAGTTATTTCGGGAAATTAAGAACCAAGCGGACTGTGAAGAGCTGCAGAAGGACCTCTGTGGGCTCCAGGAATGGTCGAAGGAATGGCTGCTGAGATTCAATGTCACGAAGTGTAAGAGGATGCACCTGGGGCGTACCAACGGTAAGGAGGCGTACCATATGTCCCAACGGGATGAAGAAAATGTACTAGTTGAGACTGTGTGTGAGAAGGACCTAGGTGTGTATGTTGACAATGAGCTGAAGTTCTCGGGCCATTGTGAGAAGAAGGTAAATCAGGCAAATAAATTATTGGGTCTTATAAGAAGGTCGTTCAGATATCTAGACGGTCCGTCCCTCGTGACGATCTTCAGGAGTGAAGTGCTTCCCCATCTGGAGTACTGTCACCCCATCTGGTCCCCGAGATATGCTAGGGACTGTCAGTTGGTTGAAAATGTTCAAAGGAGGGCCACCAAGCTGGTGCCTGCACTTCGGCATCTCAGCTACCCTGCGAGATTGGAGCGCCTGAACTTGCCTAGCTTATACTACAGACGGGCAAGGGGGGACCTAGTTGAGGTTTATAAGCATCTCAGGGGGCACTACTCAGTTGAGTGTCCTTACTTGGAGCTGGCGGACGCTCGCCCCACAAGGGGTCACAGCTCAAGATTGAAGAAGCCGCAAGTCCGGAAAACCGTGAGGGCAAACTTTTTCGGAGTGAGGGTTGTAAACTCTTGGAACAATCTACCAGAAAGTGTTGTGACGGCACCGAGTGTGAGCTCTTTCAAGAGAAGACTTGACCAACACTGGAGCGGGTTCAGGTACATTCAGGAGCCGGTGCATGCCCAGTATTTGCCAACAGTGCGTGACAGAGACGTGACCGATCGCCCGGGCGGCTAGCGAGCCGACCTTTTGGTGAAGAATATAAAGGAAAAGAGTCGTGACCGATCGCCCAAGCGGCTAACAAGCCGATCAGTGGCGAAGAGGATAAAAGTAAAAAGTAAAAGTTGTTCTGTGGTGATTTTTGCCTTCTGGGCCGTGGTTCGGTTCAGGGGAGCTGAAACGTCCAGTTTCTTTCTGGAGCTGACGGTATCTTTGGTTCTCTGGTGGTCTTTTTCGGTGTAGAGTGTACCTCGGCTGTCACTCGTGTGGGGGCCGGCATGGTATCCTCCACTGAGGTGGCTGGAGCTGTGGTGACTTACCCGAGGACGCTCCCCATGAGTATTTGGAGCTGCGTAGGCTGGATCTTGTGGCCCAGTAGTCCGGCTAGGCCCTCCGCCAAGGTTGTCAGTACCTTGGCTAGGTCTGATACGTGTATCATTCCTTCTGGTGCCTTGTTGTGTGCTTGTTTTGTCTTTTTCGTAGTTGTTGTCGTTGAGGGGCTGAGGTATGGCCGCAGGGAGACCAGGAAGCTGCACTTTGGGTGTTGACCGGTTGAGGGGGTTGGCTTTGTTTTTGCCTTTGGGTTCCCCGCACGAAGGTACTTGGTGGGGCTGGTGTGCAAGCGGTGGAGGCAGGACTTGCTGCTGGAGGTGGTGCTGGTCGGTTTGCCGAGCTGGAAGGGCTCGTTGTGCTCGCCATGTTCCCCTAATCACAACTCCTCCCCCCCTCCCCCTTTGATATTCTTGGATCCGTTCCTGGGTACAATTATACGGAAGTATAGCTGTATAATTGAAACTTTCAGCATATTCTCAATGCATCTTGAATGCTTCAGCTAACGGTAGGCTTATTTAATTTACTGCTACTCATGCATGTTACTGTAGCATGCATTAATATTTGTTTTATGGACGACGAAGCATAATATGAATAAGTGTAGGTATTAATGTACTAGGTGTGCAACTGTGATCGTTAAAATAGCCAGTGTAATTTTTGGTATATTGCTGCCGTACCTGTATCCACTACTTAATTAAAAATTCTTCATACAGTAATGAAAAGGCTAAAAAAATCCCATTCGTCTAAATTGGAGAGCAAAATGAACTGCCATTAACTGGCTGAAATGTCAAATGCAGCTAATAAAGTATATTACCTGTATTCGAAAAAAAATAACATGCGTTTAATGTACTGTACTGTGAAAATTTCAAGGACAGTGTGACCACAAGACCATAGTCCTAGTTTGTTATAATTACCTGTACAATATTATCAAGTGGTTTATAAACATCAGTGAAATTTACTTCTCGTTAGCATTTGTGTTCATCAATTGTGATGACTTTTAAAGAATATGAATGTTATTTTTTCTGTAAATATCAACAACAATTATAATCTGTAAATATCTGGCAGATTATAATTATTACACGTGTACTAAGTTATATGCTTGGCACAAAGTGATTGGTGGGGAATGTTACTCAGATATCTTAAAACATTGCCAAAGTTTGCGGTATATCTTCTGTAAAATTATGTTTTCCCTCATTATTTAACGTTTAATATCTACGAAATTCTTGTGGTATTGAGTTTTTATCCTCTATTCTTCATAAGTAGGTAATAATTGGTAGTGGTGGTGTACGATAGTTTGGGGTGAGGCACAGAGTTGCCAACTTAGCGACTTTGTAGCTAGATCTAGAGCTTTTTGTTTTTTTCTAGCGACATTTTAGAGCGATTTGCGACTTGTCGCAAATCTAGAGATATCCACAGAAATCTAGCGACTTTCTGGATACTTTTGGACTGTCTATGAAAACTCAGTTTTCCTAATTTCGAGCCATAATATATAGCAACGGGGTTACAGGGACAATACATTTGAACGGGTTGAACTCATAAAACAACTTGGTCAACGCTTACCTGACAACATTCGTGTGCTGCAGTCTATTTCTTTTCTGAGTGCCGATGAATGCTTGAAGCCTATTAAATCAGATATACTTGGTTTGGCACACTTATTTACAAAAGATTCCAGCACCCTTACCAAGATTGATTTCCAGTGGAAAAAACTGCATCACACAATCTGGACAGAAACATCTAACACCCTAAAATTGTGGTCAGAAGTGGCAAATTACAGAGATGCGACCGGTGAAAACCCTTACCATGATCTGGCTGAAATTGCACTCGCTGCCTTATCTCTTCCGCATTCAAACGCAGATGTAGAGCGCACATTTAGTAATATGAACTTTGTGAAATCAAAATTGCGCAACAAAATGAAACTATCGACATTAAAGGCAATTCTTACAATAAAGTATGGGTTAAAAAGACAGAACACCTGTTGTGCAAGTTATGAACTTCCTAGTGATATTTTAAGAAAGATAGGGACTGTGGAGGCATACAGTTACAAGAGAACCTGAACCAAGCACTTCACATGCTTCCAGCTCTACAGTTGTTCACACTACGGAGAGGACTGGGATGCAATTACTATTGAATAATAGGTAAGTGTGCACATTAAACTTTAAAAAAAATAATATTTTTATTTTTACACAATGCATTTTATTTATACTCCGTCCATTATAGTCGGCATTATGAAAATATTATTTGCATCAAATTACTGAAGGGGGGGAATAATAGCTAGCGACTTTCCATGGAAGATTTAGCGACATTTAGCTACTTTTAGGTACCAGCCTAGCGAGTTGGCAACCCTGGTGAGGCAGCTGGGCGTCAGTGTTCTCCCCTTCACCAGTCTCTTCACACTGTTCTGTTCTCAAATCAAAATGAACTATTCTCTGTTACTTTTGTTACTTTTAGGTATTTGCGCTGGTCAAATTCAGCAACAGGAGCCAAAGATAACAATAGATCCGGATGGAGGTATGTTATTTATAGAAAGACAGTAATTTCAAAGTAGAACTGTTTAGTGTATAGTACTAATTCCATCAGTTTGAGTTGGTCTTGGAAAAAATTTGATGAGTGTAGCTTTTGAGGTGTAATGTGTGTGGGGTCCCACTAATTACCCAAATGAACCCAAATGTAGCCGGAATGAAGTCAAATAATGGTCCTACATAAATAAATCAGACTGCCAATCACTTCTCGACTAGTATTTGGTGTCACAAAAAATTGGTAAACTTAATTTAATCTGAGTTAATAGATCGAGTGCATGTACCTAACCTAACTCAGATTAAATTAAGTTTACAAAGTTTTTGTGACTGACACCAAATACTAATCGAGAAGTGATTCACAGCCCGATTTACGTTTGTATGACCATCATTTGACTTCATTGTGGCTACATTTGGGTAATTAGTGGGACTGTGTGGTGGTGTGGCGGTGGTCATGAAAATACAGTAATTTGTATCTGGCGTCTCAGTAAAAGGAAACGTTGCTCTTACTATCCTTAGATTATGGTAAGGTATTTTTTGCAGTAGTTCACACAACTGTCCTACCCCAAATATATTATCATATTCGAATAAAATGTCTAATTTTAAGATAATTTTCTTCTATTACATTACCGTCGCAAACCTATAATAACGGAGATAGCGCATGCCACATATTTCTGTATTTTCTTCCATTAATCTTCTGCCATTATCGCCTACTCGACCTCCCACTCAGTGTGTTTGCTTCATAATTCATCAAACGCATGCGTTCCCGTACACGTCACATGGCCAATCAAAAGGTTTTTTTATTTTTTATTGCCACAAATTAAAATGAATTGTGGTTTAATTCGCAGTATTTTCTGCTAAATCAGATTCGATTGTGATTTTGGGTCTCGTATTTCAAAATTCAAATTTATTTCCGAACATGGAACTCTGCGATGGGTGTCACTTCAATTATATGCAGTTGATTGCACGTTTTTAGGGAAAAACGAACAAGCTATAACATTTTTTTGATCATGGTATTCTCCCGACATCAGTAAAGTGTCCTAAGTGTAAGAACGAGTGTAAATATCAAGACCAACGTAGTTGGTATTATAGTAACTCGTTCCTTATTCCCAAAACAAAGAGAGTACACAGTCGGTGATTACAAAGGAACCAAAACCAGGCCAATAAGATAAGATATAAGTGATTCCATCATATGGTGAGGGTTAGGTCAGGTCGTCCAAAAAGAATGGTTCGGTTTATATGTTTTTCGATTGTTTTTTGGGGTGTATTTTGTATTCACTTGGCCATGATTTTTTTGTAAAACGCCCGATAACTAAAAAACAGGCAATTTCCTACGGAAATAAAGGTCAGAACCAATCAAAACACACTTAAATACACTATAAAAACATAGTTTTGAGTTTCTAACAGAGTTGTGTGCACTCATACAAATTTGCTTTGGGTGAGTTAACCAAACAAAAGTTAAATTTTTACTTATGTTTGAATATGAAAAATATGTTTTTCCGATGATATTGGTGAGTTTCGAACAAATTTTATATCAATTTCTGCCGGAAATCACAGGTTTTTGAGATTACCTACCCCACCCCTCCCCAACAATCATAACGAAAAAATTGGATTTTTTTTCAAATAATTCGCATAAATATAATACCAACCAACCAAACATAACCTAACCTAACCAAACCAGGGTTGCACCTCTTCCGTTTCATACTGTTTGGCTGAAGAAAACTGGTGACACCGCCAAATGTCTTGTTATTCATATAGTGTACACTGATTATTACACTTTGGATGAATGCGCCGTGTTTTCTAAAAAAAAACCCCACTTTTTCTGATGAAAATCGGCAATTGACGTAAAATAATCTATCACAATGTCGGCACAGCTCTTCCACTTGTTCAGCCATATTTGGTTCTGGAAATTAAAATCTGCGCTCCGGACGCACCACTCCTTGTTAATTGGTCAAGACAAAAAAAATCATCCCCAATAATAATACTCTTATCGCTGTAGCCAATAAGAAACTCCTACACCACCCTCGCACATGCGCTGTAGACGCTTAAGAAGCGAAGACAGAGGTCTGGAGCGATGCGTGAGCGGGGGGTCAGACCTTCTCCGAGAGATGTAAACAAGACATGGCGAGACCTGTGACTGACCAAACCTAATAATATTGAAAAATTAATATCTCGGTTATCCTTAATTTCCGTCTGAAATATCATAGAAGAAAAAGGTCTTAGAACTGTCTAACGTTACGAAATACATATTAATAACAGAGAGAAAGACCGGTGTATTAGGTACTCCTCAACTTATGACCACCCGGACATACGACCACCGCAGTCGTATTAAATATTTTTCAAATTACGTATTTTCAAGATCTCGATGTTAGTGATCGCGCTGTGTACTGACAAAATTTTCGTTTGTAATTCCCTTTAAAATGGCTGGCAAGTGTAAAAGTGAAAGTCCTTGTGGTGCCGAGAAGAAAAAGAGACACCCATTTTAGATTTTCTAGTACAGTATTATTTTTGCCTTTTCGACTTACGACCAATTCGACTTAAGACCTGGTTGTTGGTCCAGAACCCCGTCGTAAGTCGAGGAGAGCCTGTTTATCATTCTGCCTGATCAAGAATTGAAATGCAAAGATGAGAAATGCTGCTGATTGGCTAAGATGAAGGTGGCAACTGACCATTCACTGCGCAGTTCGAACACGAGGGCTGATTTGTAGAACTCGCTACTGGTTGGCTGGTAAGCGGACGGCAAGTGACCAATCAGCAGTTGTAGGGGAGTGTATCCACTACAACGTGACCGATTGCCCAAGCGGCTAATGAGCCGGTTAGTGGTGAAGAGGATAAAAGTAGTTTAGAATGTCCCCCAAAATGTGGAGGAATTGCAGCTTTTGTAATTTAGTTTTTCCCTCATTATTATGAGTACAGTAAATACTTTCACCCGAGGATGCCATGTTTACCCCTTAACTGTTGACAAATGCTTTATAGTGACTTCCATACCTTACTGTAAAGGGGGGGATAGAAAGGTTTTTTTTTATCTTTGTTTCTTTAACTGATTAATATTTATGTAAGAGATATTTTCTTTTCAATTTTTTTATAACTTTTATTTCTCTTTCCTCTTATTATACAGTACAGTATTACAATTTATATATCACTTTCTTGAATTTCTTTGTTTATATTTTTTTGTTATTTCTGTCTTATATAACCTTTAATTTTCTTACTTATATTATATTATTTTCTATATTTTTCTAATAATTCTTTTCCAAGTTATTTTCCATTTCTTTCAATGTTTATATTTTTCTTATATTGTCCTCCAATTCTTTCAATATTTGTCAGTATACTGAGTTATATTCTATTCAATGGATTAACCTGGGAAAACTGAATCATTCTTAGCAACACCCACGAGTATAATTATTATACCTACACGGTAAACTGCCACCACCCAGGCTTTTATTCGAATATAACTTGTATAATTAAGGTGTTAGGTAGCGTGGTAGGCGAGCTTAAGCACGTGGGTTACAGTATTTATTTTCTGAGAAGCAATTGTTAGAAGGAAAAGAGCAGTGATACTCACAATATACTAATTCTATATTGATAAAAATCAAAAGTGAATAAGATGACAATTTAAACACTCAGACAAGAATGGACTACTAGGTCTTACTTTATAAGTAACAAAAAAGATCTTTGATCATTTGTTACAACAATAAACAACCATTATATTATTTCCTTGACAATAAAGATGATAATTTTTACACACTTGCTAATAGGACAGATATTAATATATTAATTATATCATGCTAGTTCTGAATGAACAACAAGAAACATGTACCAGATCTCATTTTGTAGTACACATTGATGGTTTACTCAGCACATAAACTTTAATACTGGTAATATCAATGGTTTCAATACTCATCTTGGGACAATTATATTTGTTAATTATCCACCATCATGTACAAGGACACTACTTTGCACATGTAATTGAGATTAGTACACCGGGTGCATATCGCTGGTGTTTACTACAACAAATGAAGCACGCTATTAGCGTTGGTTGAGCTGCAGCGCACAGCTAAGGAACTCATCCTCCCGGGTGTATCTCCCAGGGTGCATTACTCTCTCTGAACTTAATCTCGCTGAGTTAGAAACCTCGTGCTTTAAAGGTCTAAACTCAATTACACACAATCGTAAATCTGGCAATGACACACGATATTTACATTACGTTAATTCTTACTTGGCAAGTGACAATTTCACTATGTTAAAACATGAACACTGATATTCACAAAGTTCAACTGAGTTAAAATGACTTAATATGGCGGATGTGAGGTACCTAAGATACGATGGGGGGGAGGGGGGGCGTCAGAAAGTGACGCCAACCCTAACTAACTGGCAACTCAGGCATGCCAAATGGGCAATTCACTCATTGACATACATTTCATTTAAATCAGTTGCTGTACATTTGGCTATGAAAATCAGTGTCATGGGTCAGATAATTTTTTTACATATATTGCTACAATCTAATCAAAGTTTGAGCTTGTCAGGCAATAATGAATTGGAAATGGGCGTCAAATGCACAAGCTGATAATGTCTTTCTTACGACCTCACCAAAATAGAGACAAGGCCTATTGAGAGTTTGCCGTTAGATCTAGGAGATAAGAAGACTGACAAATTCTTTTCAGGATATAAATTACTTTCTAAAATATAAAACTGACAATAATTTCAATACAATCATCAGATTCTCTGATTGTGAATCAAAATGATCTAACTTCAGTATCAGTTAGAAACTCAGGGTATCCCTAGGGATTTGTCACTTTTACTGGCAGACTATTCAAACTTATTTGACAATTCTACAGTTGAAGCTTTCAACATCACTCATAAGGGATTTTGAATGTTTCATCTGTAATCAGTCATATCTAATTTGATGCAAAACAATTGAGTTCTTTCAATTTAAAATCTCTGAACAAAATATGAGGTATTAAGAAATATCAGTCTCTCTGAGGTACATGAGAGAAATCGGACGACTCGGGCATACTGAAGTGGTGAGAACATGGACGTCTCAACTGGGGGACTCAATAAAGAAGTTATTGCTACATGTTTTATGGGCTATTGAGTGTAATATGAATTGTCCGATTTTACGTTGACTAACATGTACGACCGTGGTCAGTACATTACAACCAAATCTACTTAACCTAATGAAAATTAACTTGCCAAATCTAACCTATAATTACTTCCAATCTAGGATAGGTAGGTTAGCTTTATTTTTTATCATATCATATAAGGAATGTAAATATGGCATCACTGGGAGATTGTGTCGATGTAAATTCATGCTCAGGACAAAAATCTGCCAACACAAATTTATGAAAGTGTGACATCTTTCACTTTGGGGGATTTCAGTATTATAAAGGTAAAGAAGTTTCCTTCAATGGAAAATTTCTTAGTAAGTACAGTATGTTAAATTTGCCATGCATGGAAATACCGTGGAAAATTTTTTTTGTAGTGTATTTCATCGTTTTTCATAAGAATTTGACCTTCATTTTCATTGGAAGTGAGTAGTTATTGAGATGTGACCTCCCCCACCCAATTGCAAACAATATTGGTTGCACAAAGTGGGCAGGGCTTTGAAGTAAGAGGGACATTGTGGGGTAAAAACACGCAAAAAACTGACAAAACAAAATCTAACGTCTCATAACCAGAGAAACCCCTTTCACCAGTAGGATAAAGTGATGCCACTTGAAAGAGAAAGTGGTGAATTATGGTGTTTGGACACTGTAAGTCCATAATTACGAGATCTCTTCCTCTTAGGGAGTGTCTGTGTCTTACAGCAATACCAGGTTTGCTGATCTTCACAATACTGACAGTCTGAATCACATCTTGGACACCATAAACCCTGAAGATGTCACCAGCTGGGGTAGTGTTCTCAAATACAAGCTAAGGAGCAACCTTCACAGACAGAAGCCAAACTGAGTAATAGTAAAATATGTATTTTCCTGCGAACTCGTATTGTGTTTAAGTGAAATAGAAAAGTCAAAATAACTCGAACTACAATATAGAGTTCTGACGGAAACGCTCTAAAGTATTTTCTCTATCCCCTATAGAAGAATCGGTACAGTATAGAGTACTGTACTGTGCATGGCAACTTTGAAATATTAACTAGTACAGTACCTCGATAGTCCTTTATGTTAGACCTGTGTCCCCGGTTTCTGAATCATATTGTACCTGTATGTATTTAATTACAGAGATACCTGTGGTCGAGGGCTTTGGTGGCAACATTGACATAGTCGAGGAGGACGATGTCTTGGTGTTGACCCGGGATAACTTCCTTCATGTTGTTAACTCAAGAGATGTTATTTTGGTTGAATTTTATGCTCCATGGTAAGTAAGGTGTTTCAGAAGTCCTGCTTGTATTAGTATTATTTAGCTGACCATATGCAGATACTTTACTGTACTGTCATCTTAGGTAACCTGCCACCTATTCCAACCCAACTAATTTTTAAAACCTAACTTAACTATTCCTAACCAAGTGTTCCAATCATGGGAACCATAGGAGGCAGTATCTCTCCATGAATCAGGGAAGGGAGGGTATCTACTCTACTGCCTAACCTTGGTTCTTGGAAAACATGTCTTATATTTAGCGGTTAGTTTTTAAATTTATCAAGGAGGCTGGCCGCCTCCTGAAAAAATAAAATGGTTTTACTGTATAATCTTTGAAGTCTGTATACAGGCAGTTGCCGAGTTATGAATGGCTTAAGTTCCTGGACCCTGTTTGTTAGTTAAAATGTTAATTCCATAGGTTAGGTTAAAACACAACTCTACCTATACAAAAGAACAAAAAATATCTCGAATATAACATGTATGAATACTGTAAATAAAATTATGTTAACCAACAAAGTAATGTAGAAATAAAAATTTTAATTACATTGGCTGTTTGTAAGTACTGTATCAGCAAATGCTTGTAGGGCAGAACAGATTTTTTTGATGAGTACATGTATTGGGTTTCCGTTCATAAGTACAGGCATTCATAACTTGGGGACTGCCTGTATTTATAAATATATGTACAGTATGATGTTTGATTGTTCAGTACGTGTACAGTATGCAAATCAATTAATCAATCCCAATAACTATCTACAGTACAGTACTGTATATGTTTGCTGCTCTCTTATTTACTTTGATTTACTGTTTGTGATTAACCATATCAGGTGTGGCCACTGCAAGCAGTTAGCTCCTGAATATGCTGCAGCTGCCACAGAACTGAAAGAAGAAGGGATAAGTTTGGGTAAAGTGGATGCCACCAAGGAGCAAGAGCTGGCCAAGGAGCATCTTGTATCTGGCTATCCAACCATTAAACTCTTCAAGAAGGGTCAGCCTGTTGAAGATTACAGTGGTGCAAGAGATTCCAGAGGTTTGTAATGTAAGGTTGAATCTTTAGTGTGTATAAAATACTTTGATGTGTGAAGTAGAGATCTAATAGAAATAGATATTGGTAAGATACTGTTTCTCTGTAACTACTCTGCTTCAGTTCTCATACTGTAGTTCATGGGAATATGAAGTTGGGTTGTGAACAGGTTTTTTGTAGTTTGTAAATTGAATGATAGAATGATTTTCCTTGTGGCTTGATAGTAAAAGTGCTTTGATCTTGTTTACAATACGTATATAAACCTGGGTGTGTTTCCCCACAGCACTGGTGGACTACATGCGTATACATGCTGACCCTAACTATGAGCCTCCTCCCTCTGCTGTTGTTGTCCTCACTACTGCCAACTTTTCAAAAACTGTCAAGTCCAAAGACCTCATCCTTGTAGAATTCTATGCCCCCTGGTGTCGACATTGCAAAGCTGTGAGTAGATTTTAATGCTTAAGGTGTATTTTGGTCAATACACAGTAAAAGTTGTGTCAAACTTGGGATATACATTGGGGTCTAGTTTTTTTATTTTTTGACTCATTCTTTCTATTCCTAGAGTTTGCATTTATCACATTTTAAATAAGAAAATCAATTTTGTGTATGAGTTTGGAGGCATAGCCTTCAAATATTTTCATTTAACTGACATTTCTAGAGAAGTACAATACTATTTTTGGTGAATTTAAAACATTTTTGTGCAGCAACCTCAAGGTGTTCTTAAAATACAGTAGGTAGGTATCACTTGTAGTTGAAAGCATGGGGTCAGGACATGGCTTCAGGAGCTTGCACAACTCGACTATGCTTGATTGAGTCACAGACATAAAGATTCTAGCCTCAATCTCCTAGATGTTTTGCTGGCAGTGTCTGTGCTTCTAGCTCGTGCAACTGTACTGATCATATGTGGCATTTCAGCAGCCTTTTTTCTCAAACTGAAATTATGATTGTCAACTTTAATTTACGTAATTAAATGCCATGCTTGCCTGACCTTTTCTTGTTTTATTTTTATTTATTTTTTATTTACCATATTCAATTATGTTAATTCCCTTGTTACAGGGATGTTTTCCAAGGTTTCATTACATGCAGAGAGGATGAAAAGCACACAACTGTGTACCTTAGTGTGATGTAAAAAAAATTTGGACGGTAGAAAGTAAATCACAGGTGTGAAGCTGGTACAGATAAAGGCATCCTGTAATATCCTTCAATTTCTAAGTTTGTTATTTGGGTTTGTTCCCACTCATTCTTAAGCTTTTGCTTGTTTGATATCCAAGGATTTTTTGTTACACAGTCACATTACCTCAAACATAAGAGGCATTGCAGTTGGGCCTTTAGGTGCCCTTGATCCAACAGGAATACCTAGGGATCATTTATGGTGATTTGTAGCATTAACCTTTTCCACATAATGTATCCTGGTTACTGTAGTTTGACCTTATAGATTATTCGTCAATTACCCATAGGTCATGATGTATTCATGATGCTATATTTTTGAAGGAAAACGTTATCAAAGTTTTTAAAATTAGACTGTGAATGGAATTACTTTTTGAAAAAAAATAAAGAATATTAAGAAAATTTAAGAAAGATCGGTAATAAAGAGATTGGCAGTCTGTAGGGAAAGTGCGTGTGAATTGATTAAAAAATGAAATTTTTTGTGATTTGTGGAGAGTAAAAATCTTTACATTAAAGTGTAAAAACTTCTCTAGAAATTTCTAGGTTATTTACTGTGATTTCAATGGTTGTTGTTGATATTTTCAGCTTGAGCCAGACTATGAAGCTGCAGCAAAGGATCTTAAAGAACACAGCATTCCTTTAGCCAAGGTTGATGCAACAGAGGAGAAGGAAATTACTGATGAATATGGAGTTAAAGGATACCCAACTTTGCTGGTTGGTATTCTCATGATTACACGTTGATAAATCTACATCTTCAATTGAAATTTGTTTGGATTTTAATGCATTGAGCAGTGCGAGGGAGTTTTATCCCCCTCCACCTGAGAATTAAAAAAAAAGATTTTACATGTTGAATTTATGCAAGGACACAAAGCAATAAGAAATACAGCGGTATCTTTATGATATGGTTTTGAAAGTCCAACAATGGGTGTAGGTCATGAGGGTGATTAAAGTGTTGGGTTAAACTGCCAAGTGTAGTTAGATGTGATGTATTTAATAGTACAATAGTTTCTTCATGTCATTGATAATGTAGCAGTTGAAAACACTTATTGGGGCCACAATATGTCGTTCACCAGTCTGCTTCTTAGATTTCATGACTGGTACTGTATGTTTCCATGAAATTTGTTTAAAAAAAGTTTTGATGAATTTTTTTATGTTCAGGTTCTAGAAAGGTGCTGACTCATGTATCATCATATATTTGCTTGATTTGGTTTTTAGGAAGGACATGTTCATCAAAATATTCACTGCTTATGTCTATATCTGGCATGTATGACATTGTTTTAAAGAGTCAATATCACACAGATACTGTCTCAGGGCATTTCACTATACAGGTAGTCCCCGATTTACGACTGCTTGGACTTACATCCATCAGTACTTACGACCTGCTCTGACCTTACGACCGCCGCAGTTGTGACCAAATTTTTTTTTTTCAAATGATGCGTGCATTTTCTATAACAAAACGTTTCCAGTTAATGTAGTCTCCATGTATAATTAGAAAATTATGGGGGGCCCCGTGTGCATTCAGCTGACTACATTAAAGGAGTGCTCAGTCACACTGTATCCATTCCTCATTATTTATTACTTTTACTGTACTGTATTTCATTGTAGATTTGTTATTTATTTTATTTATTTTTTATTTTATTTTTTATTTGTGTCGGACTTACGACCATTCGGACTTACGACCTGGATTTGGGTCCCTAACCCTGTCGTAAGTCGGGGAGCACCTGTAGTGCTGAAAAACAAAAATATCTCCAATCTGTATTATGGTACAAGTACCTGTACTGCACTAGGTTATAAAAGTAATTTCCCACATAATAGGTTAAGATGGGGAGAAGCCTATTATGAAACAATGCAGGAAATTTTTATGAGCTTTGAAGTGTTGATCTGCAGCTTATTTTCCTTGTATGGAGTTCCAGTGCTATGAATGTGTGACATGTTTGCTTAGAGGGTTAAAGAGCTGTTTTTAAGTGTAAAAGTTCAGAGAAACTTAATGGTTATGCTATACAGTATTTAAGACATCTTTGTTACTTTTACAAACACTTAGATTTTTAAAAAAGAAAATATTAAATCTAAGTATCATTCCAGTTGATATTGTACGTGATAAAACCACATTCCACAGGTGTTCCGCAATGGGAGACAATTTGAGTATAAAGGAAAGCGTGATCATTCTGGTATTGTTGACTATATGAAGGAACAGGCTCGGTTGCCCTCAAGAGAGGTACAAACTGCTCTGGAGGCCCAGAACAACTTTGCAAGAACAGATGCGAATGTGATTGCTTATTTTTCAGAAAAGAATGATATGTTTGAAGAATTCATTGGAGCTGCAAATGAATTACGAGGTAAGCTTGGTGCTTTTTACTGCTCACAGTACAGTACGGTAAGATCTCATATTTCGCGTGATTTCATTTCGCGTTTTTTTTATTTTGCGTGCGTTACTTAATGTAATCAAGTCTTATATTTGGCGTAAAATATCGTGAATTTCGCGCGATAAAGCGAGCTGAATGCTGGTCACCGTCTTGAATGATGTCCTAGCCTTCATACCAGTTAGTCATTTCTGCTACAACGTGTGTTTTGTCAACGCGAATTGGTTGCAGCGCGATTGATGAATAGGGGAACACTGTTTGTAAAACGCGAACTTTTGCATACGAATGTTGGCTATAGCGCGATTCTATCCTCAACGTTTTTAGCGTGACTCGGGTTATGCAATGTTTACAGTTCATGTTCGACATCACATGTTAAACTGATTCGTGTCTTTTGTTTGTGAAGCGCTTTTTGAGAGGTACAGTGGGGTATGCTATAACGAATCTAATTGGCTCTAGAACCTCGTTCGTTATAGCATTAGTTCGTTATAGGATTAATCCGTTCCAGGCCCCCAAATACAACCACGTAACACTGAAAAATTTCTGTGGAAATTGTAAAAAATACGGTACTTTATCTTACCTTAGTGTTGTTAGTTTACAGGACAGGAGGCAGAGGAGGAGGGGGAGGAGAGAATTATGGAGAAGAGGTGGAAGGAGAGGAGTCATCCTCCCTAGCCATCTTTGGTGACTGTCTTACAGGCACTTTGTCTGTTTATTTATAATTTCTTTCTTAGTTTCAAGGGTTATTAGCTTTCTCACTCGCTTTTGACGATTCATTGTTACAATTGTACACTTGTATAACAAAATAGTTATAAAAATAACACGAATTTCCACATCAAAAGACGAAATTTCAACAAGTTCAGTGGTGCACTGACTACACAATGAACCAATATGGCGCCTGACGCTCTTTATGTGAGCTGCGGTACAACAATATTCATGCGTCAGACGAAATAGTCCCGTATTCATTTGCGTTCGTTGTAGGAGTTGCGTTCGTTATAGCATTCTCAATTTTATAGGTAAAACCATTCGTTATAGGAATATTCGTAGTAGAATCCGTTCGTTATAGCATACCCCACTGTACTCTGTAATTTTTTTTGCAAATTTATCTGTTACCCATAAATACTGTATGAAAAGAATAAGTAAAAAGAATGTTTCGCAGTGAGGACTAATAATGGTTTACACCAGCGCTCTCTGTTTACATCACGTGATCAGTTGAATCGTGCAGTTTCTGTCAATTACCCTGTGATTTTTGCTATTTCTCCAATTTTGTTGTGTTAGCAATGAATACGGAAAGACAAGGTAAGAAGAATGTTTCCAAGAAGCGTTCTGGTGATCGAATTGCCGGTGGTGAACGTAAAAGAGGTTTTCAAGAATGCAACTATCGCGTTGTAGCCCGCGCCAACCTAGCGACTGCCTAGTGCTGGTGGGGATGGGACAGACCCACCTAAGCAGCCAAATAAGGAAAAGGAGAAGCGGGACTATCATAAGGGAGTTAAGTTTGCCAAGTACTCAATGCAGGATAAGCAGCGTGTGATTAAATTACTTGAGGAAGGCCTAAAAACTAGTTTCCGGAAAGCACAATCAAGTCAATGAAGGCAGAATTTGTATCATTTGGAGGTTATAAATGGGAAAACCAGAGGTTGATGTAGAGTGCCCAGTCTATATTGTTATTTTTCCCATTAGTTTATGTATTTGAATTTGGCGCAATTTTTCCAGTCTATATTACTCGCGAAATACAAGATCTTACTGTATTATATTTTTGTACCATACTGTAGGTACACATTTATTCTTATCTTTAATTGTTCTGGAAGTATGGCAGTTGATAAAAACAAAGGACATTTTTAAGTTATTGTAATTTTGAGTGGTGAGTTTGTATGAAGATACACTTAAATTTTAGGTATATTTAAGTGAAATGGGTGAAAGGGGCAGACCAAGCTTAGATGGAAGGATAGTGGTGGTGCATATATGAGAGGAGAGAACAAGTGGTGAGGCCTGACTTGTCACATTTGATGTCTGGTGGCTTCTTTGACTCTGTAAAACAGTGTCATTAAATGTTATGATTATCTTATTTAAACCTGGTTAAAATTGAGTTGCTGGATATAAATCTTGTATAAATTATCTTCCCATTTTAGGCAAGTTATCCTTCTTCCATACCTTTGATGATGTCACTGCTGAGCAGCTCAAGCTGAAGGTCAACACCATCACCATCATCATGCCAGAGATCTATCATTCAAAATATGAAGATAAAGTGTTCAGGTATAATAAGGTATGTACTGTAGTGTCTTGGGATACTATAAGAAACAAGGAACTTTGAATGTGTGTGGGTGTAACCAGAGTGAAAGTAAAACCTTTCACAGGTTGCTTTTGTGCATGGGAAATGTTTATGTGCATGTACTGTATGTTGATGAATTGGTTGATTTTTTATGCCAAAATTTTAAATTATTGACAGGCAACAGGAACGTACAGGGAAATAGCAGCTTGGATTGAAAAAAAAAGTATACCTTTGGTCGGGCAACGCACGATGAGTAACAAGGAGTTCAAATATGCAGCTCGGCCTCTTGTTGTGATATATTATGATGTGAACTTTTCTCATCAGTATATAAAAGGCAAGTATTAAAGTCCAAACTATAAGATAGTATTAATTCTCATTATTGTATAAATTTGTCTTCACTCTTGCAAACTCACGCACTGCAGTACAAGATGGCCAGTAACAAGAGCAACACATTTTCCTCTTTACTTGGCCATTCATTTTCTTGAATTGCATTAACAGAAGTGTTCTGCCATGGTAGAGTATTCCTGTTCCATAATGTCCCTAGGTACGCCCCTGTTTCATACAATATACCAGCAACCACTCGACCACTTGATGCCATGTTTTCCTGTCTTGCACTTAACCTGCAGTTTTTTCTCTTCTTGCATTCAACACATCTTCCTCAAAATATACTCTCCAACATTCTCTTGCTTCCAATTTTTGAAGTACGGCAGTCAAATATCTAATGTTTTATTTGTATTGAATATATTGAGTATGGATTTTTGCCAGATTTTACCCACACAGCCTATTATCTCAGTGTAACTATTATGATAGTCTGAATTTAGACTGAATAAATGACAAACTATATTTTTTATTATTTTGAGCCATAAACAGACATTCACACACTCCTTTGTCATTCATTCATTTGTCCTGTAAAAGATGTGTAAATTTCATCACAGCATATTTGAACTTGTTATTTATTCACTTCATTGCACTACCCATTTCTAGAACTCGCTACCCTTCCATGTCTTGCCATCTAGTGTACTTACAATTTACAACTCTTTAATTGTAGGTCACTCACACACAACACAGAAGTAGATTATGCATTTTCACTGGCATTGGGTTTAGTCTTGGGTTGGGCCTCATCTTCCACACACCTGCTTCTAAGGTTAGAATTGGGCCTTGGTGTTACATACATGATCTTGTGTTAAAAATAGGCCTGATGTTGGGTTTATACCACCATAATGTGTTTCTGGGTTGAGGATCCTGATAGATGGATTTAGTGGCTCAGATGTGGACACTATCGCCCGTATTATTAAACAACACCTTCCCTTGAAGAGGGCTGTCGTGTTTCAACCCGAGTTTTAAACTAAATAGGTCCTGAAGGACACTACAATACTTAATTGGGTGGTGTGGCAGTAAAATTAACTAATTCCAATACTAGAAATAAATTTTATTGGAATTGGTTAATTTTACCGCCACACCACCCCATTAAGTACTGTACTACGTGTCCCTCAGGACTCATTTAGTTTAAAACTCAGGTTGAAACATGACAACCCTCTTCAAGGGAAGATGTTGTTTAATAATACGGGCGTATGTAACAACGAGATTGGCTGCCATTTTATTGTTCGAAGGTATATTGTTTTAGATTTTATTTTTACTATAATGTTATATATATATTGTATAATAACCATTTCTTTATAAAATTTCTCTTTAAAAATATTTAAATCTTTTTTTATGATGTTGTTGTAGACACCCAGTACATCCGTAACAAGATACTGCCGGTGGCTGACAAGAACCGAGACCTCCTCTTTGTTGTGTCAAACGAGGAAGAATTTGAAGAGGAGTTACAGAGTCTTGGTCTGGAGGACTCTGGAGAGTCTGTGAATGTGGCTGCTTTTGCAAACAATTTGAAGTAAGTTATTTGACTTTAGTTTATCTATTTCTGTATTTTCAGTATTATATTAGTGTTCAGTATAATATTCAGTAACTGAGGTTAAGTGTAGTATTGGCAGCAGATGTAAAATACATTTACTGTACAGTACATTATCTCCTAAATGTATTTGCTTTCTCAGCTGGTGTTGCCATCAAAATACCTGTATCTTATTTGTGCATCCTTTTCTTTTTTGGCGAGTCTGTATGGTAATTTTTTATATTTTTGATGATTTTAGACTTGCAGGGAGTGACTTGGCTCTGCAAGGGATGATCCAGAAGGAGTCGAGGCACTCTCTTTTTTCTTAATTAATGATCTGGAAGAAATAATTTAACACCGCACATGTGTTCCAGATCAACACGATCAACTTGCTTACATTCTTGATCTTTGCTTTATTTCTAATCCCCTCACTATTCTTACTCAATTTCTGCCCCCGTAGGATCTTCTGATCACAATCTTACCCTATTATGTCAAACTGGGTGCATCACCTCCCCCACTCCCCTCTAAATGCTAACTTTGGCATTATTGGAGGGCACACTGGCAATCCTTGCGAGAATTCTTCTCCAACTTTCCCTGGGATGAATTTTTGTATTTCTACCCGGGATGCCTTGGTTTGTGTTGATGGTATTCCCGGGGTTTTACTGGGTGGTATGAGTGCATTTATCCAATCTAATACTAAAACTTTCTCTTCAAAATCATGGTTTGATCGCTCCTGTTCTTTTGCATGTAGTGAGAGAGGTAGGGTGTATTGAGTTATGAAATTACCTCTTTCTCCTGTTACTCCCTCCTCTTTCATTACCATATTTAACGGCATATAAGATGCACGACCATTTTAGCAGGGAGTATTTAGGAAAAAACTTTGTGGGTATTTTCCTCCTGTAGCCATAGTTTTCTTTAAATAATATATACAGCCCATGTATATGAGAGGAATAAAACAAAAGTTAAAAAAAAAAATACTGTATGCGTCACCATAGCAATGGAAAATAGCAAGGATGCTACCTCCGCCGATTCCCTAGCAACGTTCCCCCCCACATGCCGCACCCTCCTTCCACTCCCCTGACACGCCGCACCCTTTCTTCCACTCCCCCCCACACGCCACACCCCTCCTTCCACTCCCCCCCCCCCACACGCCGCGGCCCCCTCCCCACACGCCTGCACCCTCCTTCCACCCCCACACGCTGCACCCTTCCACCCCCCACACACACACCCTCCTTCCACCCCCACACGCCACACCCTCCTTTCACTCCCCCACACGCCCACACCCTCCTTTCACTCCCCAGATGCCACAACCCACCCCCCCACACGCCCACAACCTCTTCCACCCCCCACACGCCACAACCTCCTTTCCACCTCCACACGCCCACAACCTCCTTCCACTCCCTCTCCACACGCCACACAACCTCCTTCCACTCTCCCCCCCACACACCACACCCTCCTTCCACTCTCTCCCCACACGCCCCACCCCCTGCACTCCCCCACACGCCCACTCCTCCCCTTCCACTCCCCCACACGTCAGACCCTCCTTCCACTCCCCCCACACGCCACTCCCTCCTTCCACTCCCCTTCCCCCACACGCCGCAGACCTCCTTCCACCCCTCCCCCCCCACACGCCCTCTTCCACTCCCGCCCCTGTCTTCTTCCACTTCCACACGCCACACCCTCCTTCCACCCCCCACACGCCACATCCTTCTTTCCACTTCCCCCACACACATGCCACCCTCCTTCCACTCCACACACCCCCTCCTTCCACTCCCCCACACCCTCCTTCCACTCCCCGCCACACCCTTTCTTTCCATTCCCCACACGCCCACACCCTCCTTCCACTCCCCCACACGCCACATCCTTCTTTCCACTCCCCCACATGCCACCTCCTTCCACCCACACGCCCACACCCTCCTTCCACTTCCCACACGCCACATCCTTCTTCCACTCCCCCCCCACACACGCCGCACACCCTTCCACTCCCCCTCCCCCCCCCAGTTCTGATTAATGGGGATTCTGGCTAACGGAGATATTACTTGTAAAGGTAAACCTCTTGGTGCGATATCCCGAGATGCAATATTCCGCTATAACGATGGATGTAAATTAAGACCATCTTACTATATACGATCAAAACAACTCGCTCTAACGATAGCCATCAATATCCAGTGGTTGGAATTTTTTATCTTGAGTGCAAACTATGGGTTGTATATACTACTCAAATTAATCGATGTCTTGCAAGGATTCCAGCAATGTAAATTATATTTTTCTACGTCAAGTCGGTGATATTTTATAAGATTATAGTTTTTAACACTATGCATGACGCATCTCTACCTTTACTTGTAAGCCTACCCACGCGTTGCCACACGGTCAACCCGTGCACTACGGCCCTGTGTTTTGTTCCTTGTTGATCGTAAACTCGCCATCGCATGGCTCCATGATTATATGCCAGCACTGTACATTGTGCTTATCATTGGTGTTTTTTTTTTATATAGTGAAAGGACAGCACTTGCATTTAGATTGAACTGTGTTATGGTGACTAAGGTGTGTAGTGTCAGTTGATCATTGTTTTTGTTACACTTGTTTGCTCTGTTTTTGTGACAACTGCTTTTGCTCTGTTTTTGTGAATGTGAAGTGAGCAGTGTAACTTGCAAATGTCTGGGAGTCAGTGACATCTCCACTTCACCTACAAGAGTCCCCTTACCCTCAAAGGGGACCTGTGATGGTGACCAGGCTTATTCTTCAGGATGTGGCAAGTGCTGTTTAGTTGTTTTGTATTGATAGTAGCATTGTAGGATTTATTTTTTTGGTGATAGATGAGCTTTGGAGGGGACTGGCTGGGAACATATCCCATTGAACCCCATGCTCTAATGCTCCCTATTTGTGATAATTCACCTAGCAATGGGTTTTTCAGGAACCTAACCCCATTGTTTCTCGAGGTTTACCTGTACAGTATATAGTATACTATAAAAGCAGAAAAATGAAGAGCATGGGTGTGTATGTGTGGGAAGTGGACGTATGTATTGAGGCAGTGAACTGTAACCGTATCCTGCCGCACTCTCTTTCCCCCCTATGTGATGTCGCGGCATACAGGCAGCAGCCATACACCTCTCTTGGGTCAGCTTAGTGACTGCCCGGATGAACTGTGTTACGTGTATGCTCTACTTAATAATGTGAGGAATAAATAAAAATAATGATATACAGGTATATATTAAATAAAAGAAAAAATCCTGTGTTGCCCTTTGTCAATCATCTCATGGGATGGGAGATGAGGAACAGCTAAGAGCTCCCCCATGCTACACCCCCTCCCTTTCCTGCTCCCTTTCCCTTGCAGTGTGGGCTAATTGTCGAGCACGTAAAATTTTTTATTACCTTTGTTTTTTCCCAAATTATAATTACTTTTTTGCACGTTTTGTATGAACAATTGTGTGTGCATGTAATAGTAAAAGAAAATGAAGAAAATTACTTATATCTATCCAAAATTACATGTTGAACAATAACATATCACAGCTCGGCCTCACCCATTCGAGTGTTACTGGGTGGTGACTTGGCTACTCAATTACATGCCATCTCCATGGATATAATTCTTCGTTATCCCTCGTTTAGGATATTATTTCTCGTTGCCCCTTTTTTAGTGATTTTTTGCTTAACAATTGGCTTTTCGGGAGTGTATACCAATTGTTAAACATGGATTACCTCTACATATCTTCGGTGTTGTCTTACTTTCACTGAAACTCTACACACTTTAGCACATCCCCATTTGTACATGATCATCTGTTTAAGAAATAAGAAACACAGAAAGATGAAGCTGAAATGAGATTTGTATTTTAGATATCCAATGGATCCGGAGGATGAATTTAGTGCTGATGTCCTCAGTGATTTTGTTGACAAACTTAAAAGTGGTAAGTTTTCATTGGTCTATGATCTGTTGTTGCTTGAAATATCTGCTATAATACATTGTTAGTGCTATAAGAAAGAAGATAATGTTCAAGATTATTGCACATGTGGAAGAGGATTTATGAGGTGGTGTCTAAGTTTAAAAGTAGTGCTAATATATTTGTTATGGACATGAAACATAGCAACCCGAATGAACTTTTATCTGATTTTACAGGGAAGTTAACTCCACACTTGAAGTCTCAACCAGTTCCTAAGCATCAAGATGGCCCTGTACGTGTGATTGTTGCCAAGAACTTTGAACAGGAAGTAATGCTCACCAAGAAAGATGTTCTTATTGAGTTCTATGCTCCATGGTGTGGCCACTGTAAGAACCTCGACCCAATATACAAGAAGTTGGCTAAACAGTTGTCAAAGATTAATCCAGATGTTGTGGTTGCCAAGATGGATGCCACAGCAAATGATGTATATCCCCTGTTTAAAGTGGAAGGATTCCCAACCATCTACTTCCTGAAGGCTAATGAGAAGGATAACCCCATACCATTTAGTGGTGACAGATCACTTAAGAAGCTCAAGGTAAAGAACCTAAATCATAGATTTTAAAGTATATGAAAGCTACTTTGATTAATTTTAGGGGTGTGATTATACCTACCTCATTTGTGGGAAGTAGCTGATGGTAACTTGGGAAATATGAATAAGCCACTAGAATGATATAGCTTGAGAAGACTGCCATTCTATTTTATATATCATATCCAAGTGGATGGGAAAGAAGAGGAACAGTGGGATTCACATGAGATTCATATAATCCACTTGTCAACTAAAGGGAATTGAAATAGTGAATTATGACAAATATTCAGTGCTTTCATAATTGTTCACTTTTTCACAAAGTTGCTTCATTAGTTCAAGACTCTAGTCCCTCCTCCCTGTCTTCTGTTTTTGTATACAGTGTAGCTGTGAGACTGGTAGAATTATGTGCTGAGAGAAGATTGATAATGGGGAATACACTGTTTGTAAACTGAAATTCAAATAGGTACAGAGGTATAGAATTGGAGAAGAGAAGAGAGATGTTTAAATGTGTTGGACAAGATTGAACTGTAATCTATGTAATGTAGGTGTGCTGAGAGAGAGTTAACCCCTAACCTGTGGGCCCCCTCACTTTAGTTTCTCCTAGAGAGCCTTTGGGCTTCATCCCCATGTAAAATTATTGACTTGGCACCAAAATTTTTTGATAAAATTTACTTTTGTTTCTGACAGTAACTGGAAACTATTGGCATATTTTTTCCATGACCACAAAGAAATTCCTTAATTGTACCATGGAGAGTGCCACATCTCATGACCCCCACCCTGGTAATCCCTACCCCCCTCCAAGATATGCTTAGTAAATAAGGTAACCATATCCAGAGATATAGGAGTACAGTACAGTATTAGATATGAAAGAACTAAGTTATACCATTTGAGCTACATTACAGTACTGTACTACTTAAAAGGTGACATGTAAATATAATTCTATAATAATATTTTAACAAGAAAAGCTGTCTGAAATTATGAGTTTGTTTTAGATCACCGTTCTTGCCTGGTACAAGATATTATGGTAGTGAATTTGTTATATTTATAAATTGAAGTTGATGACCTTGAAAGTGTTTGTAAATTGACAAATTGCTTTTTATAAATACTTTAACAGGGGATAGGTTAGGGTAAGATAGTTTAGGTAGGTTTTGAAAGTTGAGGTTAGGATTTACTGTATTATGATTAATTGCTCATACTGTGTGTATAATTATTTTCATTTACTTTACAGGAGTTTGTTGCACAAGAAGCCACCATCTTTAATGTTGAGCAGGAGGCTCACCAAGGCAGAGTAGAACTATAGATGAAGAATGTTTGTGGACAAGTTTCTTGGATATTATTTTTCAACCTAGAAAGTTACCTGTTGGTGAACATTTGTGATGTGTAATTCTGTATCAAAGATGTTTTGAACAAATGAAGTTAATGGTTGTAAAAGTTTTAAGAAGTATCAGAATAACATCTACTGTAGGTTTGGGTCTGGGGAGCTTGCTTAAGGTTCTTGGTTACATGATCTGAAATTAGTTATTGTATGTAATTAAGTCCATAGTATTTTAAAATTGTACTTAAGTAGGTGTTGCATAAAGTGAAAATTCATCAGCAATATGCAATCAGTTATGAACAAATGTGGTGACATTAGTATGCATTATACCAGTGAGTTTTATGTTATAGTATACACGTATATGTTATGACAAGTTCAGCAGATGCTATTGGATGATGGAAACATGTGTGGCAAAGCACAATATTAGTTAGAAACATAAGGTCTCACCACTGTACGTACAGTATCTTAATATATAGAGTAATATTATGAGTGTTGGCAGTAGAGTACTGCTGAAAGATCATAGCAGCACTGGAGTGTTTTAACTCATAGTATTGTCTGTTTAATCAACATTGTGATCTGATAAAGATATAACAGTGTGGTCACACTGCTTTAAGTTTGAAAAAGTTCAGAAAGTTTTAAGCCATAAACTTGTAACTGAATTTTAGGGTGTGTACTGTCACAGGTTCAGCAAAGCTAGACGTTGGCTTCCATGAACTGTGGACTATTGGCTCTCTTTTAACTTATCTCTATTTGTTGTGAACAATATTTGGTGGAAAATATTGTAAAACACAGACTTCAAGTACATTCCATGGACTTGGTGTTCTTTTGTCCTCTATTTTCTGGTTCCTGTGGAAATGTTTCTAATTTTCTAAAATAAATGTTCTAAGATAACATTGTTTATTTAATCACAGATAATACAGTGTAAGAACCTGTGATTCGCCGATAATTGCAGTAGAACATTAGTTATCAACCCTAATGCAAATGTTTTTTACTTTTATTATTTTTCCTCAGTCTCGGCGACAAAAAATGAAAACTGCACAATTTCATGAGAAGAGGGAATCTCAGATCATTAGTTACTTGTATAAATCTATAAATGCTTTATTAGTATTATATAACATTGAACTTCCAGGATTACATTTTTCTTTCCAGCCTCATTACTCCTCACTTTCCATTTCAGTATTCACCCCAGACTTGTCTCCCCTGCACCTTTACTTTCATTATATACAGTAATGTGTTCATTTTAGTCCATAACCTTTGTTCTTATTGACATAGAATAGCATAAATAGATCCTACTTCCTGCTCAGTCACATGTAATAATAATAATTAAAGGTTTATTGAAAGAGCATAGCAGCCAGAAGGCTGAAAATATAGTTACATAATTGGGGAATGGGTTTCGATTTACAAATAATATACAAATAACATAAGTGATACAAATAAGATAAATTATAACTAGATGAGGAAAAGCTCAAGCTACAGGGCATTTCAACATTGTGACAGTGCAAGAAGTAGGATTTACTGGGAGTGAATACACTGGTTTATTACAAGTTATTGATAATTTTTACAATGGTTGGGACTGGGCTGTTTTTATAGTGATCAGTTCGTGCACATATGGGCTGGATGCGGTTGTGGTGTCGAACAGCAATTCTCGGGCTAGGGGCATGGAGCTTGTAACACATGATAATTTTACAAAAAAGGAAAAAAGATTGGAGTATTTCAGTGTACAGAACATAGATACAATTGGGATGACAAAAAAAAAGACAAATTAAGATAGATGAAAGGAACTTCAATTCCATAGCCATAAGTGAAATAAAGTTGCTAGGTAAAACAGCAGTGTATCGCATCAAGTAAGGGGCATAAACGTGGGTTGGTTTTGAGTGAAGTGATGCGAAGGAATATACAGTATGGGTAGTCCATCCCAGAACATTGTGGATTGGGTTGCGAGTGTTTACTTGCCAGGGGGAGAGAAGAGAGGAAGAACAAATGCCAAAAAAGCTTCAGTGTGTTTGATAACTAAGCAATGTGGGGTTTAATTTTAAGAGGATGAAATTATGAATAACTGTGGAATGTCAGTAATGAATGGACATGATAATGGGGAATACACGGTTTGAAAACTGAAATTCTTATGCATACAGAGGTATAGAACTGGAGAAGAAAAGAGGGAGGTTAAACTGTGTTGATGGACAAGACTGAACTGTAATCGAAGTCATGTGGGTGTGCTAAGGGGAGCTGTATATGGAATACATCAAGTGTTCTGTGGTTAAAGCAAAAATAATAGTTAATGAAGAATTCCAATGTACTGTATAGAAATAATTACGGTGTTTTAAAACTTGAGCCGAAGAAACTGATTGATCAAAACTTTGAATGAGATGACAGGGAGGAAATGGATGTACAGTACAGTATGTAAAATAAAAATGGTTATGGAAAGTACAGCTGAAAAGTTTAGGTATAACGGGTAAAGAAATAAAAACATTAAAAGTGTAGAATATGAACGTTTTTTGCTAGTTAAAGAGAAAAAAGAACTTAAGGCATCAGTTGCTGGTTAGAAGAGGTGAAAGCAGGGAGGAATATTTGGATATTTAAATAAGGTTACAAAGTAGGTAAGAGACAAGTAGATGAGAGATTTTACAGAAAACGTTTAGAAGGAATTCACTTGGGTAAACGTCCTCCCCCCCCCCACCCCACCAAAAAAAAAACTACTGTTGTGGTATATTTTAGGAAAAGGGAACAAGAGTATTCACTATCTGAGGTTTCATAGTTAAGTGACCAACTTTTTATGACCAGCCACGTAAAAAGTCCCCACATTTAAGTGGATTCCACTCAAAAACTCTGAAAACTCTCAATAAAATCTACGGATTTTTAGCTGAAGCGTTTGAAATTTCATCCTCTTCCTGGTGTCATGCATGCACACACGTGTCTGTGCCAGTCTCCTGGTTTGTTTCAACCAGTGATGTGTTGTTTATTTCTGCCTTTGTTAGGTCTTTTCGTCCATGTTGTGGTGAATTCTTTTATAATATTTGTAGCTATGAGTTCCCAATCCAAACAGGGTGGTGCAGCGCTCAAAAGGAAATACACTAGCTATAGTATAGATGTAAAATTAGAATTGATTAGGGGAAGAAGAGTGGGAGTGGGCAATCCACCTAGTCCGGTTTCTTTTTCATCCTCCGACTAATCCTCTCCCAACACCCACCTCCATCAATCCAATCAAGTCAAACATTTCTACCTTTGAAGCTAAGTAAATAAAAATATTTTGTTAAAATTATTTATTTTTAAAATGTTTTAAGTATTTAGTCTCAATGAACCACTGGAATGAGTGTGCACCAGCTGGCACAACCTACATTGCCTCAACACACTGACCCCAATGAACGTATAACGTATAAAGTTAAATAATTTCTTAAAATAATGTGTTATCAAATGTTTAACAAATGTTTCTAAGGTAAATAATTGTTAAAAGATATCATATAATTTTTTTTTGACATATTTTCATTACAAGTATTTACTTGGGGATTAATTCCCTGCTTTAAATGGATTAGTTATCAGAAGCATTTTCCAGTCCCAATTAACCGCGAATAATGAGGACCCTCGGTACTGTAAACAGTACGTGGGGTCCTTGGGTTACGAACACATGCCGATATGAACGAAGTCCCATATAGTAAATTATTTTAAGAATCCAACATTGGTACAACTGGTTCGTAGTATTAACGTACAAAAACTAGTTTGTGTAGTGTAGCGACGGGTGGGGAGTAATGCATCGCCCAGTCACGCGCCTTGTGTTTTGCTTATTAACTCTGATTTTGCTGCCCTCATCATGGCTCCCAAGTGCAAACCTGATGCAAGTGATAGTAGTGCATCCAAGAAAAGGAAAACAATTACAATGGAAGTGAAAGTTAATTTAATGAAGTGTTCTGAAAAAGGCAAAACACTCCGTCATTGGTAAAGTGTTGGTCAACGATCAGAGCAATTTTAAAAGACAAACACAAAATTCTTGAACATGTAAAACGATTACCAATGCATTCAACTGTGATAACAAAACAATAAAGTAGATTGATAATTGAAATGGAAAGATTGTTAGTGATATGGGTAGAGGATCAAAATTAATGGCCTTGATTCAGGAAAAAGCAAAAAGCTTGCATGCTGACTTAAAGGCTGCACATGGTGGTGAAAGTGATGGGGAAGATTTTTTCTCTAGTAGGGGCTGGTTTAATTAGTTCAAGGTAAGAGCAAAGTTACATAACATCCCAATAAATTCTCTGTTACTACTACAAATGCCCATCTCTACATGTAAGCCAGCCCCAGTTTCAACTTAAGCTTTTAACTTTAATTTTTATTTTCCTTTTCTGTATTTTTTTTATTGAATTTCTTCTTTTCTTGTAAATTAAATGATTCTAGATATATAAAAGGACTTACACTATGATATAGTGCGCATAGGGTATGTGTTCCGACTTACATTTCCGACTTAAGGACGTCATCAGGAACAGAACTCATTCGTAACCCAGGGACCCCCTGCATGCTGAATATGTAGACAAGAGATATGCATCGATATCTTGTTTTGTATATGAACGATTGAAAAATGAAGGGGTCAGAAAGGAAAAAAAAATTTAAATGTGAAAAGGAAATGATTTGGTTTGTGAGTCAGCTTAAATTGATAAGGTACCAGATGTGCATAGGAGTGTTGAGGATGGGAGGTGAAGTGATGGAACAGGTGAATAATACATGAGAGTGGGAAGAAAACTAAAGGAATGGCAGAGTGACATGGAAGGTTATCTTGTGGCTCTAGGAAGGGAAAGCATAAAAATGAATGTAAAACAGGAATCAATTATTTATTTTTTAAGTGTACAGGGGAATATGTGTAATGATTATTATTGCAATTTGATTATGGTATAAAAAATGTTTGTGAAATAGGAAAAACGGTATTAAGATCATTAAAGAGGGAGAGGGTGGATCAGCTATTTGCTCGTAAGTAGGTAAACAATGATTCCAAGACAAATGAATTTGTAAAACATTTCAGTACTGTGATAACGTGTAGGGAAAGTTGGGGTTACTTTAGACATTTTTATGTTAAGGAGTTATGTAAAACAACTTCTCCCCAAATTTTTATTGTACCAACATGTAGACCCTTATCTTGGCTTTAATGAACCAGCAATTGATGGTTTTATATTTATTAGTTTGGCATCTTTGCAGAGTATAGCGGGACTTCCTCCACTGTCCAAAACATTCCACTGCCATGATGGGAACTTACTCAGATGGATATCAGGTTTTTTATCATTTCTCGATGATTGTTTCCCATATTTGTACACTTATACGAATACAAAATTTACTATTGTTCTTTGTCATCAATTTGATGTTTTAGTTGACTTGCTTTTCCCACTGGGGTCTTATCAATCAAGTCATTAATGTCAGGCTAAATATTGATGTGGATGTCAATGGCTGTCATTTTCTTCTGAATAATCATTAATTTCTATAAGGCTTATGATGTTATTACTATGACTAACAACCATCACCTGTTGACTATTAAATTTTTAGTGTTGTCTCATTTTATTCTTATGGATTGTGGAGGTGATAAAAGATATGTGGAGGATAAGGATAATGGGTCGTATTTTGTTGATGGTCAGTGACATGAGAACAGTTAGAGGCTTCAGTACGAACACAGATTCATTGACTTTGTGAGTTGCTGTCTGATGAGCCAGATTTTTTTTTAATTCATGTAATTACATAAAATATATAGTTCCACGTCTTGTATTTCATGCAGAAGCCCCAATGAATGTCTAGTTTTGATGTAAGTGACAAAAATTAAAGCAATCATTCACAGTATATATTACAACAAGGAACCTGTGTCTGATACAAATATGAGTTACAGCAATGGAATGAAACTACAATTTAGTGCAGTTCAAATTTTATTTATCTATTAGTTAAAGAACAAAATAACTGCACAATAGTACATAGGAAATGTGATACAATATACAGTATACATACTGTATGTATATATAAAGGAACACACACATACACACTTACAAGTAAGGTGCCAAATTAAATAGGATACAGATGATTTTGTTACTGCTAATCAGTGTGAATTATAGCGATTGTTTTCCAATTCATCCCATGGAAAGAAAAACTCAAGTTCTAGTTATGTATCTGTCCTTGAGAGGTACTGTGCAGTATATTCTAAAATCATTGAAATGGATAACTTGTGTGTGATGGCTCTTAACTCTTGAGTAAGATGGCGCTGTAACTGTACACACAGAGGGTAACACTGACGTTGGCTGCTACAGCATTCCATATGCAGTTCTTCTATTTTTGTGTTGTCCTTGTGCTGTGGTTGAGACTAGTGGAGCAGAAATGTTCAGCGATCATTTGTGAAATGGTGGTGTCAATATCTTATGTAGCAGTGAACAGTTACGAGAGAACCTTTCAGAAGTTCCCCCTTGAATAATCTCAAGATGGAAGTGACTAGTCTACATGTGCCCTCTAACTCAAATACTCGTAGTTCTTATGGACAGAGTGATCTAAGATGAAAATGGTTCCTCTTCAGCAGTTAGTGTGAGAACCCTGACTTGTTCACATTCTTGGCCAGTGTGTCCTCACCCACCATAGTAACTACTAAACCGGTGATTCCTCACTCACTCGTGGACCAGACCCTTGTTAGGTGACAACACTGAGAGTGTCTGTGTCTGAGCTGTGTTTGTGAATGTGTCTGAGCTGTGCTTAAGTGTTTGTGTTGTAAGTGTACACAATGTACGGCTCCTCACCTCTGGTGTGGATTGTGTGTGTGTTTACGAATGTTCTGTGGATGCTCACACACACAAAACAAGTAATCAAACATCTTATCCTATGTACTGTACATACAACTTTACCTGTGTATCTCCAGTAACACATTGCGTTAATCATATCCATTTAACCAGCCTTACTATACCTATATACATATTGTATCCTGTATAAAAAAATATACACCATCTTCCAGTTGCATGAGCAAAAATTTGACTTTTAAAACATACATTTAAACGACAGTGAGAAGGAATTGAAATAACCGCGAAAAATCCCATTGTTTTGGTGTGGGTGGGGGCGAAGCGTTGTTTTCTGACCAGACTCCGGAGAATTCTATGATTGTTCATGAGAAAGTAACCAAAATTATGGTTTGTGTGAATCACCGAAGCACCCATGGTTTTCTTCTCAAAATATATTCCTACTTTTGTAGATTTTTTAACCTTTTTGTTTGTAGAAATGCATAGAAAATGTATAACAAAACTAAGATAAACATTATATAAAACAATGTTTCTTAACACTATTCAACAATAGAGATCAGGGTAATTAATAATTAACAAAATGTTTGTCAGACGAATCGTTGTTCAGTGACATGAGACAATAATATAACACATTTAGGCATATGACCTAACTGACTATATGAAGGAGTTCTACATAATATCTATAGTCAACAGACTATAACTGCTCTGTCAAATGTCAAGTTACATCACATGCCAATATTAGAGACATGGTGTCAGTCGAATCCCATTAATGTACTGTTTTCTTTATAATGACTGAAAAATCTTATATTATTTTGTTGTTAAGTGTACAGGGTGTCCCAAAAGTCCGTACTCACAGTCAGAATTCACTAATTAATTTTATTTAATTAAAAGTTTAAATTACTTACCATAACCTTATATACATATATAAATTCTTACACATAATCTCCTCTGAATGCTCTCAGTACCTTTGTGTTAATTTTCTTACACTCCTGCCTTAAAAGAATTCTTCAGTATGTTGACATATGAGTGTGAGCAACTGAGCATTTGACACACCCTGTATAAACACAACATAACTCCACTAAGTGGCAACAACCTCGGCTCACAATTTTAAGTATTTTACGGTTAAATTTACTATATACCCACCACACGGCCCTACAGCATGTGTTTCATTAAGAGCTTAGCACTATTGTATCTCCTTACAGATCTACTGAACAAAACCCACACACATAACTTTATGTAACTCTACCGGAACATGAGAGGTCTTTGTGTGAGACCACCAAATATCACAGACTGAAGGCAGGAGTCTCCAGGGTGTGTATGAAAGACTCCCACTACTGTATCTCTATACCACAGCCATGGTTGAATAAGTTATATGAGCATGCAAGTAAACATACACACAAATAAATGTAAACATGAGCTTATGTAATAAATATGTTTTAGGTTTTGCAAAAAAGAAAAAATGTTGCTGGAAGCGACAAAATATGAAGCTGTAGATCATTTCAATAAAAGTACATTTCTCGGTCAAGTCCGTTTACCTTAACATCTGAGATTTTCAGAATAATCACACAGTCTCTATTGAATTGGGTAATCACAGTGGGAGGCATCAGCGTAAAGCACAGAACATGATACACAGTGGCACCAGCAGGAGCATGGTGAGGTACATATACACACGAGGCTCACATTTGGTATCCAGGATGTAGGCATGGTCCCACCTACCCTCCTGTGGCACTTCCACCACCGCCTGTTCTTCAGACCAGAACTTGAGTGGCATGGTACAGTCTGTGGTGTTGACACAAAGCTCCTCCGACTCTTTGGTGTTGTATACAACCCTCTCCATTGTCATGTTGAAATACAGATCATTGACATAGATCTCGTTGTCGCTGGAGAATACAAAGTAGTAAGTTCCCGTGATGGGGATATCATAAACAATCTTGTTCATCTCTATGGATTGGTAGCTGCAGCTCCTGTAAGGCACCAATGGCAGGGTGAGAATGACCCCTTCACAGCTGGCCAGAGCCTCTTCGCTGCTCGAGTACGATGACCTGTGTTCTTCATTCGAATTGTCATTTGCTGTTGACTGATTAAACCTTCCTCTCTCAAACTTTAAGCCCTCGGGAAAAAAGATCTCGCCTCCAATTGCCCGCTCCACTGACGAAAAGTTCCTCCTTCCCTGATTGGAAGTTACTTCACTTATTACACTCAAAATATCATCAGAGTCCAGTTCTTCGAAAGCACCATTTTCATTATCAATTTTGTCTTCGATGAATCTCTTAGCTCTTGATCGTGTTAAATTGTCATCTTTAGGGAAGAGTTCCTTAGTGAGGTTTTCATCACGGGGGTTACCTTTCTTCCTCTTTTTCTTTTCACGTCTTCGCTTATCTTTTCGTGTTTCACTTTTTAGTTTCCTGCTGACTTTTTTCAGCCGTTGTGGGAGGTCGTGAGCTGCTGATGCATCTCTCCTCATATCAGTTTGGTTGCTTGTCACTTTTTCTACCTCATCAAGATCCATGACGAGTTTGACTGCACCAGCTGTAGAGTTTTCGGTATTAGTTTCGAAGAATTGACTCTTGTCTTGAAGCTGATTTTCAGCATTGTGAGCTTTACGCTCAGCATGAAGGATTCTAAGTATCTCCGATTTGCCTTTGCTCATCTTGATGGCTTTCCGCAGGAGCTCACTGATGCTCTGACGACGCTCTTCTGACTGGAGATGATGTGGAGGAGAAGGATCACCTGCAGGAGCTGAATGCCCTTGTTGAGCAAATGAAGATCTTTCTACGTCAGGAAGTTCTTCAGGCGTTGTGAAGACATTCGGACCACCTCTCATAGACTGCTCCTCCAGCTTATGGCGTTCATTGCTGGCGACGTCATCATCTTCCACCATGTCCTCGGCTGAGTCCTCCTCTCCGATCCAGGCGCAGCGATGCAGGTTCTCCAACCCTCGGAGAATCATCAGCTGGCCTCCGTCCCACCTGCCACACAACATCATCAGTTAATACAACACAAAAACTACCTAAAATAGCAGTACAATGTGAGTATCATAAAAATTCGAAGATTGGTCGAAACATTACTGGTATTGGTCTCATTGGTGATGAAAATACCCCCAAGGATTTACTACTACAGTACTTTGTTCTGTGTATTTTTAGTATATTTTTGTCACTATCAATGGCGGAGGAGTAATAAAAGGTATCAATGTTTTCAGGTGAATTTGAAGTTTTCAAGCTAAAGATTTAATCTCCATCTGCACTCATCTTCTACTTTATTTCTAAGTGGACAAGAGTGACTACCTCTCCACTTCTCTACTTAGTCAATCCTACTGTCCCATTTGCCTGATAGAGGAGAGGAAAGAGGGAAAATGTAAGGTTTAAGTAAGAGACAAACAAGAATATTACATCATAACAGGTGAGATCAAATTTTATTTTCCGGTTCTTTTTTTATGGGTTGAGGAAGGATAAACATTACCTTAAATAATTCCTATAACCAACCTTACCCATCCTCACGTACTGTAGATTAACCTGTTGTTCTATTTTATTACCCTGTGTGAAGTGCATGTTGTTTTGATTAATTGGTAATAATACTGCACACACACAAACACACACACACACACACACACACACACACACACACACACACACACACACACACATATCATTAAGATGTAATCTTTTCTTGTGCTTATCCTACTTGACATTCTAAGGACACATAAGAGACAACCCACGTGGGCTTAAAGTCCCTTGTCACAAGATGAAACAGTCAGAATTTTCCTGTTATGTCTTAAAAATCCTCCTCCCTCCCTCTCCTACCTGGAGCAGAGAGAGATGGTGATAGTGGAGCCCTTGAGGAAGTAGAAGCCCCAATACTCTTTCACGTCGTCCTTGAGGACCAATTTGTTGAGCATGACATGGGTACGACGCTGGGAATCCTTGGATGGGGCGCCCTTCAGTAGGTAACCATTAAAGTTGCCGTCCATGTGTGTGGTCTGCGCCTGCGGGAGGAGGGTGTGTGGTAAGAAAGGCGGAATTGGATTGGTACGGTGTGATCTTATTGCTCACTCATGGGATGGTGAGGGGAGGCTGACCCAATCATTCATTAAAGGAACAGTTATCCTGGAGTCATTTTAATAATACATGTATGAAGAGAAAAACTGGATTAGATTTAAGGTTTGACAGCCTTTGGCCTCCGACTTGCTAACTGGCCAGCACTGTACTGTGGGTAGCGTTACCTCAAGAGAGACACCTCACTGTTCTCACCGGGAGGTCTCAGGTAACAAGCACCAGTGCCTGTACTCTATAAAACTGTCAAGAGAGGCGGGGCCAACCAGTAGTGCCTCTGATGCCTGTGCAAACATAAACAGCACAATAAACGAAGACCTTGGACACACCTCCACCTCTCTTGTCAGTCTCTTGTCAGTAGATCAGCAACCCAAGTAAACAACATGGCATTTACCAGGTACTGTACCACATACCTCAAACCTGACACCATCATTGTCCCATATACCTGGCACCAACAGTGTCCCATATACCTGGCACCAACAGTCCCACATGCCTGGCACCAACAGTGTCCCATATACCTGGATATACCTGGCACCAACAGTGTCCCATATGCCTGGCTCCATCAGTCCCTACATACCCACCACAACTTATTAGGCAATAATTTCTCCACATTACTGGCACCATCAGCATTCCCACATACCTGGCACCACCAGTGTCCCCATATACATGGCACTACATACCTGGCACCAGAGGCTGGAGACGTGTCGACTAAGGAGGCGCTGGTCAGTGGGCATCATAGGGTAGTGGCCAGGAGGGTAGAGGACAAGACGCACGTACAGTGGGATAGTGATGAGCACAGCCGGCAGTACGAGGGAGCACAGACACAGCCTCACCACACGTCGGGGTCCTCGCAGCAAATCTGTTAAGAAAACATTGTTCATATGATCTTCCATATAAATTAGCGATAAAATAAATGAACAAATAAAAAAAAAGTAAACACTAGTAACAATAGTTAGGAGACAATTCTTATAAAGTTAAATTTCTCTCAAGTTTATTTGGTTCCAAAAGTACTCATCTAATTAATAAAGTCTCTGTAATTATAATATAATTTGGAAGGTAATTTTGCGTTTGAGTGGACTCGTTAAATACAGTGTTACATCTGAAGTGACTAGGAACATTCACCGTACCAAGTTGGGAAAATGTGGAACCAGATTCTCACGTCATCGGTTACGAAGACCATTGAGAGCTTGAAAGAAAACCTTGAGATAATTAGCTCTGGACATTTCGTAAGCAAACTCACTACTTTAGGCTAAACTGATCAACTTATCATGGATGGGAAGACAGTGAGTCCATAGTACCCCACCCGTATTAACCAAGCTACCTGCCCCCCTACAGTCATTATTATGTATTCTACCCTATACCGTGTTACATATACAGTACTTGGTCAAATGAGTACCCATCCTGTTGAATAAGCAAGATGACCACAGTACAGGTACTAAGAAATACCTCCTCAGTCATAATAAGTAAGGCTACTAGACCTCACCCTACCCACACCCTGCTCTCTTAAACTAGGGTAATCCCCTCGGTATTGTGAAAAGATTGGCACAAACAGGAGGACTGGTACCAGTGGAACTGAGAGCGAGCAAAGGGCAATACAGAGAAAATGGAGAAGAGAAGTTGTTGGGCGTGTGGAGAAGATGGACACTTCTAGACGAATTGCCGACAGAATTGCAAGAGAGGGAAAGAAGACCGGGGAACTAGAGATGTCTGGTGCTGAGAGGCAATGACCAGCATGTCTCACCAAAGCTCCACGATTGGCAAAATGCAACCGAGCTACTGTAAGCAGTGTCCAGGTTGAAGGTGAAATCAATGGCATAAGGTGTTCGTTGATGATCGACACAACCTCGAAGCAGACTTTTGTGAGGCCGGACGTGGTTAGTCACCGAAAAATACCTGAGACATCACAGCAGTTGTGCAGGATAACTGGACACTGCACAGTGCTAAAGAGACCAGTGGATATCAGCATCAAGCTAGAAGGGGAAGAAGAAATCCTACAGGTTTATGTAGCGGATATAGCAGACCCTTGCGTCTTGGGCCTGGACTACCTCCTACCTCGAAAGTGTCAATTGGACCTTGGCTCGAGGCATTTGAAAATTAAAGGAAAGTGGGTACCGCTGAAGACTGTGAAGCATGCAGGTGCAAAGGTTACAGCTAGGCAGACAGTAGTTATTCACCCAAGATCAGAGGTGCTGTTGCCATGCAAGGTGAACGGTGCCTTGCATACCCGTCTGGGAATGGTGGAGCTTGATGAGCAGTGTGGAGTAGAAGATAGAGTGATGGTTGGGAAAACCTTAGGCGATCCATCTGCAGAGGTACCTGTAATTTGGGCCAATTTCTTTCTCCGGCCAAAGTAAATACAGCAGGGAGTGGCTGTTGGACTGTGGCACGAGGTCGATCAGGAGCAGCAGCCAAGGACCTGCAAGAGGAGCATGGTAAAACAGAAAAATGGTCTGCTCGACCATTTGCAGGACTTGTTTTCCAGGAAATCCTATTGCCTGGATGATGTTGTTATTGGAGTATATGGACGTTTTCTCTGCAGGGGACCTAGACCTGGGTTGTACAGACCTGGTACATCATCATCGACACTGGGGATCACAGCCTGATCAAGCAGCAACCTCGGAGGATAGCACTAGCTCATCGCCAGGAAATGGAGAAGGCGGTAGGGGACCTTATTCACCAAGGTCTTGGTCGAAAAGTCCAGCAGTCCATGGGCGTAAGGAGTCGTCCTAGTGAGGAAGAAGGATGCTCTTAGACTGAAGGATGGTCTGCTGCAGCGCCAGTGGGTGACTACCGATGGCCTCAACAGGTACTGACAGACAGTGCTTCCCCAGAAGGTGAGATCCTGAGGAAGATGCACAACAATCCAACCAGTGGACATCTGGGAGTGAAGAAGACCCTGAGTCGCCTGTAGCAAAGATTTTACTGAGTTGGCATGCGTAATGATGTGGAAGAGTGGTGCAGTTCATGCGTTGTCTGCTGCGCAAAGAAGGGACCAAAGCTCCACGTGTGCCCTACTGCAGTTGTACCATGCAGGTACACCAATGGAGAGTGTTGTGATGGCACCGAGTGTGAACTCATGCAAGGCCAGATTTGACCAAGACTATATCTACAATATATACCGAGATTTTGCCAAGGCTTTCGACAGTGTACCCCATGAAAGGCTGAAAATTAAATTGGAAGGGTAAGGGATTCGGGGAAGTGTCCTAGTGTGGATCGGAGACTTTCTCCATGACCGCAAGCAGGAGTACCACAGTGTATTGGGCCCGCTGTTGTTTGTCTGCTTCATCAATGACATGCCAGACGCTGCACATTCCTCCATACAAATGTTTGCGGATGACGCTAAGTTATTTCAGGAAATTAAGAACCAAGCAGATTGTGAAGAGCTGCAGAAGGATATGTGTGAGCTTCAAGAATGGTCGAAGAAATGGGAGCTAAGATTCAATGTCACGAAGTGCACCTGGGACGTACCAACGGTAAGGGGGCGTATCATATGTCTCAACGGGGCCATGAAACTGCATTAATTGAGACTGAATGTGAAAAGAACCTCAGTGTGTATGTTGACAATGAGCTTAAGTTCTCGGACCATTGCGAGAAGGTGAATCGGGGAACTAAATTATTAGCCCTTATAAGAAGGTCGTTCAGAAATCTAGGTGGTCCGTCCCTTGTAACGATCAAGAGTGAGGTACTTCCCCATCTGGAGTGCTGTCACCCCGTCTGGTCCCCGAGATATGCTTGGGACTGTCAGTTGATTGAAAATATCCAAAGGAGAGCCACCAGGCTGGTGCCAGCACTTCGGTACCTCAGCTACCCTGAGAGATTAGAGCGCCTGCAATTGACTAGCTTATACTACAGACGGACAAGGGGGGGGGCTTAATTGAGGTGTATAAACATCTCAAAGGGCACTACTCAGTCGAGTGTCCTTACCTGGAGCTGGCGGACGCTCGCCCCACAAGGGTCACACCTTAAGGCTGAAGAAGCCGCAAGTCCAGAAAACTGTGAGGGCTAACTTTTTCGGAGTGAGAGTTGTGAACTCTTGGAACAACCTACCAGAGAGTGTTGTGACGGCACCGAGTGTAAGCTCTTTCAAGACCAGACGACCAGCACTGGAGCAGGTTCAGATACATTCAGGAGCCGGTGCATGCCCAGCACTTGCCAACAGTGTGTAACAGAGACTTGACCGATCGCCCAAACGGTTAACGAGCCGATCAGTGGTGAAGAGGATAACGGTAAAAGTAAAAAAGTAACACCTGATGAACCTACGACTGAACATAATGCTAACAAATTATGATGCGATTGTACTTGAAGCGTCTCATTCCTTCATAGATAATATTAACATACATGTACAGTATTTAAAACATATAAGTCCCTAGGGAGAATCTCATCTCGTCGGAGTCAGTGTTACTATAGTCTTTATAACTATTTATGACCACGTGAGAGTTAAACACCCCATCTTATATTTCACCTGGTAAATAAAGAACTTAACGCTAACCTAACCAACTTAACCAAAGCTAAGCTAAGCTAACCCAAATTACTCCCGATAGCGTTAGAATGATAATCATCAGGTGAAATAAGCTGGGGCGTCTAACCTTCACGTGGTCCACCATTTGCACTCTAAACTATAAGATCAACACACACACACACACTGGCGAGCCCTAAACTACGCAAATAAATTCAGGTGCAGAAGGGAGGTGGATAAGGATCGCCGACGTTCTCAAGGGTATGTAAATAACCATGGAAGTAAATATAATTCAACAATATTTTAGTTGCATTTAATCAATAAGCAAAATTCCCGCCTTTCTTGACCCAACCCAGAAGCTTTTCGTACGTGAGAAATACTGTGTTTTTCTTATTACTACTTCACACAATGGAGTTGCCTTTTATGATAATTCTCGTATTCAAAAACTAAAAATATATATATATATATATATATATATATATATATATATATATATATATATATATATATATATATATATATATATATATATATATATATATATATATATATATATATATATATATATATATATATATATATATATATATATATATATATATATATATATATATTTTTAATGTGAAGGAAGTTGAATGATATTTATATACAAGATCCATTTGATTAATTTTACTTCACACAGTATTTGTATGTGTTTGTCGATCTATTTATTCACATACGAACACTAACTATTTCTAGAGTTAATTAATTTTGACAACAGTAAGAGAATGTACACACCTGGCAACATCATATATGACAACTTGTGGCTGACTAAAGGATAAACCTTTCATATTTCTAAACAGGTTATTAACTAACATTAAACAGGTTTCTCTTAAGTCAGCTGAAGTAAGTTTAGAGGAGAGGCCAGTGATCGTCTCTCAGCCTAAGTTAACAGGTGTTAGGCGTTACACTATGATAACTATACTACTACTACTACTTTTTATGGCCTCCATCCTCCCCTAATAACCATACCTTCGCCACCATTTTATTACCTTAAAATTAAATGTCCTAATACATAAGTAACTATCCTAGCTGTGTTGATATAGTTGAGCCGCAGATCTATGCTGCATTCAGTGACTGTTGCCTCATAATTCAATATCTGCAACTGTTGTCGGCTTTGGGGCCGATGCTCTCGTTCCCCTGAGGCAGAGCAAAGCCGACTACTACTACTACTACTATTGCTGCTACTACTACTACTATATGATACTGACGAGCATTTATACAGCACAGCAGGCGTGGCACAGATCCCAATGACAGGTACAGAGGTAAAGTTTTGTAATATAGATTTTTTGTCGTAATAAACGATTGCAATATAATAATGTGTTCCTCAGCTTTTGGAAAATGAAAAAAAAAAATGTGTAAACATACTGTATTGTTTACCATTATTTGTGTACCTACACTGTCCATGTACATTATGTATATACCCACACTGTCTATGTATACATTGTGTATGTATACCTGCACTGTCTATGTACATTGTTTGTATACCTGCAATGTCTATATATCTATCTATCTATCTAGAGAGTTGAGGGTGACCTCTAGGAAAGAGCCAAGATTCTCAAGGGTGTGGTTTCTTCATCAAGGTCAACCTCCGACTTTCCAATAAATCCGATCTATGGATATTGCTGTACAGAGTTGCGTCCCATGTGTTGAGAGAGAGAGAGAGAGTAGTTCTTGAGTTTTAACAGCTGTTGTCTGGTGTTCATTCATACCATACGTGCTTAAAAACACCTTTATTTACTCACCCACGACTTCTGACACCTACAACTTGTGACACTCACGACGTCTGACATCCACAACTACTAACACCCACAACTGCTGACACCCCCAACTTCCGACACCAACAATTTCTGACACCAAAAGTTTCTGACACCCACAACTCCTGACAATCACAACTTTCGACACCCACAACTACTGAAACCGGCAACTTATGACACCTACAGCTTGTGACACCCATAACTTCTGACACCCACAACTTCTGACATCAACACCTTCTGACACCAAGAACTTCTGACATCCACAACATTGATACCCACAACTGCTGACACCCACAACTTCTGACACCGACAACTTATGACATTTACAGCTTGTGACACCCCAACCTCTGAAACCACAACTTCTGACTCCCACAATATCTGACACCGATAACTTATGACACAGCTTCTGACACCCTTGACCTCTGATTTCAACAACTTCTGACTCCCACAACTCCCGACACCCACAATAATTTCCACTACAACTTCTGACACCCACAATACCTAACAACCCACAACTTCTGACACCCACAATACCTGACACTCATAACATCTGACACCCACAATCACTGCCACCACCACTTCCGACACCCACAATCACTACCATCACAACTTCTGACACCCACAATCACTACCACCACCACTTCTGACACCCACAATCACTACCATCACAACTTCTGACACCCACAATCACTGCCATCACAACCCCTGACAACCACAAGACAACAACGACTCAAATATCGATCACTGTGTAGGCAGCATCTCTGTTTGTGTCCTTGTTGCTCGGAGCTGTTAGTGTCACTGTGTATAATAAATAGATAAGAAATAATGAATGGGTAAAAATCTATCTATCTATCTAGCTATCTGTCGGTTTATTTATCTAACTGTTTCATCACTAATCTCTAACTACAAACCAATCAGCTTAACATCAATTGTGGGAAAATTGCATAGGTTAGGTTAGGTTAGGGTGTTTAATTATGAGGTGAAATAATCTGGGGTGCTTAATCTACATGTGATCCAAATGCTCAGCTGAAGGGAAGGGGGAGGTAGAGTGGTGAAGGTGAGGAAGGGAGGAAGGAAGGCGGGGATAATGTGAATGTTTTATCTTTTAAATGATTACTACTAACCCACCTGGATCACACACCTCAAGGGCGAATGATAGTGAAACTACTACCTATCCTGTAGGCGGAGTGATATGGATGAAAATATTTTATATCAAGTTTATGGGCGATAGAAAGTGTATAATATGGACATGAAGTAGTACCTTAAGCTGTGTATTATTATATTACTTTATTAATTATGTATAGTAAAGTATTACAGAACATGTATTAATCCTATGTAATATTTCCATTTATTATGCACCATGTTATGTATATGAATTATCATATTTACATTTTATGTATTCAGCTTGTGAATGCTGGCATCTGTACATGCCAGTGCGCAGTGATACAAAGAGTGGAGACCACCAGTCCTTATGGTGTGGAAGTGCTCTGTCTTATTAGTTCCCCTGTACATCTCCCGTACGAGAATAAGAACCTATTTTCAAGATAACAAGTGTTTGCGTATACCCTCAGTAGTGTAGAACATTTTGGGGGTACCAAAGACAAACATAGAGAAAGATTATCGGGAAGGAGGCAAACCAGGAAGACATTGCATCCGTGAATTATTTGGTTTGTGTGAATTTTGCCAATTGTCGCAGGTCTGGCAAAGGCTATTTAATTTAGCGAAGTATTGGAGTCTTCACATGGGGTAAAATAACGCACAGCACAACTGCCCTTTGGAAAACACTTTCTTGACGCCAGCAGTGAAGACAGTCAACCAAACTCTGAGAATCAAAAGTTGTTTCTTTTAATATAGAATTAAGATAATGATCATTCAGGATGAACCTCATCGAGACATTAAGAATCCTGAAAGGGATGGAAGACGTCAACCCAGATCACTTCTTCAAGGTGTCAAGCGCGACAAACAGGAAGTCATAGTTACCAAGGTGTCATGTAGGGCGAATATAAAAAAGTACCTCTTCAAACAGAGGCTGATAGAACTATGAAACAGTCTACCAGTTGAAGCTGTGGAAACGAGAACAGGACTGACCTTCAAATAGCTTTGGACAAGACTACCAAGAACAATACAGAGACCCAACACAGGCCGTCTCCCACCTTCCCCCGACGTGACTACCTCTATCGGTGGCGGCCACGAGGTATTGTACTTGAGGTAAATAAGGTGAATACTAACGCCAAGTAAATCACAAGTGTTCAGGTAACGACAAGTAACATAGTGACAGCAAGTCATCTTTTGGGGGGGGAGGGGTCACCCACACCTACTACCGTTCAGGTCTGACTTTCATTGACGATGCTCACGATTTCAGCCTCGACAAAGGATCACATTTCTCTTATGTGACAAAATTCTTCACCAATTACCTGTAACTTATGACTACAGTGCATTGATCTTGCCGTGACCTTATTTTGCTTGTCATTCTATCAAATCTTTATGTTGTAGTGATGTCACCCTCGCCGTCGAATCCTTCTTTTCGGTAATTTTACCATAACTTCAGGTTGTGTTTACGTGATACCCCAACAATGTTCTACTCTAAAGTCCTCGTGTCCTGTGTCTTTCCTCCCCATGGGTTCGAGGTCTTCTTGAACCGCGAAAACGACCTAAACTAACTAAACCAAGAGGAAGAGCCTTACTCCCGTATTATTAAACAACATTTTCCCTTGAAGAGGTCGTCGTGTTTCAACCCGAGTTTTAAACTAAATGAGTCCTGAGGGACACCGCAGTACAGTACTAACGACCCTCTTCAAGGAAAGATGTTTAATAATACGGTCGTTAGTTAACATTAATATTCATATTTCTCACCTATGTATTTACTTTGAAGTTTCATATGAGAAAAGAGAAGGATAAAATGAACATTTAATTAATATATGAAATTACACCTGTAAATTTATGTTAGTTGTGGATTTCCTTCGAGTTTATTATTATTATTATTATTATTATTATTATTATTATTATTATTATTATTATTATTATTATTATTATTATTATTATTATTATTATCTATTCGTGAATTCTTCTACTCTGGGACTTATCTACTTGCTGGCTCACCTTGTTTCCCTGGCTTAAGGAGGGAAAATTCTTTATTGAGGGAGGCGAAGGAGGGGGTCCGGGAGGGTCGCAGCTCCGGGGGAAGGTACGTGACGGAGTCCCCCACCGACATGGTTCCTCCTTCAGCGTCTCCAGGCAGGTACTGTTATGCTCCACGGGTACTGGTTCTCCGGCTACGGGTACTCCAAGTCCAGCAGAAGTCAAATGCGAAATTCAGGTGATATACGAGTAGATCCGACAGGTGGGCAAAACCCCTCGAATGCTTTAGTTTTCTCCAGCAGCAGGCAAGTACTGCCCTTCAGGTACTCTCAGGTCCCGGAAGGAGACAAGTTCTACACGCCAACTCAGTATTCTACATATGGAGTCTCGACAAACGTGTACATCTGTTTGTTGCCCCAGACTCGTGCACTCTTCTCAAGGTGAAGCAACAACTGATTGAATTCATGACCACCCCAGGACGAGGGGCAGGAGACATTATCACCCTCGAGATTGATCCACACGACTCGGTGATACACCCGAAACTGTGTGTGAATGAGAGGCGGCAGAGCTCTCACAACAGCCCAACCTCCTCGGACGTCAGGATAGATACTAGTACTACAGCTCCCTCCCTCCCTCGCTCGCTTCACAACGCACATGCTCGACCAAAATACTTCACTCGTTTTCTTTGAAGGCCGGACAGCAGCTGAGGACCCGACGTATACGCATCTACGTAACGTAACCGGTTCCCTTAGCAACACGGTGCCCGCTGGTGGTCGTGGTGACGTTGGTGGACCAAACTTTACTCGACTGATGCCCTTATTATATGTATGGATGTGCTAACAGGTGACGCCTCGCCTAATGATGTGTACGTGTGTGTGTGTGTGTGTGTGTTTTAACAAAATAACACATCACAACTGCTAAAGTGACCCTCAACTGAATCCTAAGCGGCAAGAAACGACCCAGAGAAGACACTAACCACCAGACGGTTGAATGTGGACGACGGTGGGTGAGTGTGGATGACGATGGATGAGTGTAAATGACGCTGTGTGAGTGGATGACGATGGGTGAGTGTGGATGACGATGGGTGAGTGTGAATGACGATGGATAAATGGATGACGATGGGTAAGTGTAGATGACGATGGGAGAATGGATGACGGTGGGTGAATGTGAATGATTGTAGATGAGTATGCATGACGGTGGGTGAGCGTGGATGACAATGGGTGAATGGATGACGGTCGGTGACTGTGGATGACGGTGGGTGAGTATGAATGATGATGAGTGAATGTGGATGACGGTGAGTGAATGTGGATGATGGTGGGTAAGTGTAGATGACGGTCGGTGAGTGTGGATGACGGCGAGTGAATGTGGATGATGGTGGGTAAGTGTGGATGACGGTCGGTGAGTGTGGATGATGGTGGATGAGTGTGAATGACGGTGGATGAGCGTGTATGTCGGTGGATGAGTGTGGATAACGGTGGGTGAGTGCATGATGATGGGTGACGGTGGGTGACTGTGCATGATGTTGGGTGAGTGTGGATGATGGTGGATGATGGTGGATGAGTGTGGGCAACGGTGGGTGAGTTTGGATAATGGTGGGTCTGTGTGGATGAGTGTGGACGACGATGGTTGAATGTGGATGACGATGGGTGATTGTGGATGATGGTGGATGATTTTGGATGATTGTGGGTAACGGTGGGTGGGTGTGGATGATAGTGGGTCAAGACGATAATTGAATGTGGATGACGATGGGTGATTGTGCATGATGATGGATGATTGTGGATGAGTGTGGACGACGATGGTTGAATGTGGATGATGGTGGGTGAGTGTGAATGACGCTGGGTGAGTGTGGACGATGGTGGGTGAGTGTGGGTAACGGTGGGTGAGTGTGGATGATGGTGGATGGGTGTGGATGATGACGGTGGATGAGTGGATGATGATGATGGATGAGTGTGGATAATTGTGGATGATGGTGGGTGAGTGTGGATGATGGTGGATGAGTGTGGATAATGGTGGGTAAGTGTAGATGATGGTGGGTGAGTGTGGATGATGGTGGATGAGTGTTGATGTGTGTGGACGACGATGGTTAAGTGTGGATGACGATGGGTGAGTGTGGATGAGTGTGGACGACGATGGGTGAGTGTGGATGAGTGTGGACGACGATGGTTGAGTGTGGATGACGATGGGTGAGTGTGGATGACGATGGGTGAGTGTGGACGACGATGGTTGAGTGTGGATGACGATGGGTGAGTGTGGATGACGATGGGTGAGTGTGGATGACGATGGGTTAGTGTGGATGCTCCAGTCTTCTAGTTTATCTTATAATCTACCAGTGTTCAGGTAATGTGAGATTGGCCAGGCGCCAGTGAGCCTACTAGACGAGTGTGTGTGTGTGTGTGTGTGTGTGTATGTGTGTGTGTATGTGTGTATACATGTGTGTGTGTGTGTATGTGTGTGTGTGTGTGTGTGTGTGTATGTGTGTGTGTATTGTGTATGCTCCATATGTATGTATAAACGGTTATTAATAGAGTTGCAGCCGGTGGCTGAAAATATGAGCTTATTTGATTTAGACATAATAATGATATAATATGCATTGAATACATTTACAGGGCTGTACAGTACATAAATCAGGAGTTATTTATTATTTTAACAATAGATGGGATGGTGCTGTTCTTATATCTATCGGTGCGGGCTCTTATGGGCTGAATTTTGTTGTAGTGGCGGACTGCGCGAGTTGGGTGGTGGGCTGCAGGTGGCAGGAGGTGGCGATGGCGAGGGTGGTGCAGTAGTCCACTGCTAAGCTGTGTGAAGTGTGTGTATGTATGTATGTGTGTGTGTGTGTGTGTGTGTGTGTGTGTGTGTGTGTTGTGTGTGTGTATGTGTGTGTGTGTGTATGTGTGTGTGTGTGTGTGTGTGTGTGTATGTGTGTGTGTGTGTGTGTGTGTGTGTGTGTGTGTATATATGTAATAATGTGTGTGTGTTTGTGTGTGTGTGTAGGAAAGGAGTGCGTGCGCGTGTGTGTGTGTGTAATAATAATAATAATAATGTGTGTGTGTGTGTGTGTGTGTGTAGGGGAGAAAGTGTGTGTGTATGTGTGTGTGTGTGTGTATGCGTGTGTGTGTGTCTGCGTGTGTATGTATGTATGTATGCTTGTAATGGCAATGGCAGCAGCCAGCATGTATGTATGTTATAATTAAATGGGATTATCATGAGAACTAAGCTGTTAAGAAATAAATTCGGAGTTTCATGTTTATTGGTTGAGATGATTCACGGTGATTCATTAATAATATAAACTTATCTCTCAGACTTATTGTGAAAACCACCTGTTCCTCACCGTTCTTCATAGTCTTCCTCCGTGGCACTATACAGGGTGCCAGTGGGTGTAAGAAAGATTGCCAGACAAATGAACATTGACCGGTAGAGAGAGAGAGAGAGAGAGGGATCTATGTGACGTCATGAGTGACCTCCACAGGCACCTCCGACAGCTTCCAGTCTATCGATGAATCGTGTTTTTTCTTGTATGTTTGTTTTTAAGTCGGTGTGAACTAAGGGTGGCCAGAGCCTTTACACATGCCACGCAGCTGAGAGTGGCTTGGTGCGACACGTTACACAGCTCCGTTTTGTTTAGTATAGTTTAGTGTTTCTAGCGAGTCTTATGTTACATATACTGTAGGTGTTTATTGAGTCTATACATCTCTCTGTTTGTATTGTTTACTTATTCACCGAGTTATTGGTTTATCTTTTAAGGTTCTTTCAGAGAGCAGCTGGTCATGTTAACACAAGAGATAAGATATTAGTAAGACTTGACACTAGAGAAGTTCTTTTGACTCCATCACGAAACACATAACCATGGCGATAAGAAATATACCCTAAGCATTGAAATACTCCAGCAATATAAGGTAAGGAAGGTTAATTTTCTTAGTAGTGTTCTTGTTGATGAGCTATGACGTCTTGGTCTCGTCTCCAGCTCGTGTATACATCCCCTGCTTATACTGTAAACGATAACAAGTGTCGATTACACCTTAATGGATGGGTCTGACTCCTACTGTGGACGACTACTTGGCCTCGGGTGTTTACAATAATCTCTGTTAAGGTTAGGTTAGGTAAGCTTTGGTTAAATTAGGGTCAAGTTTTGTTAGATTAGGGTTAGTTTAGGTTAGGTTTGGGTCAAGTTTTGTTAGATTAGGGTTAGGTTAGGTTAAATTAGGGTAAAGTTTTGTTAGATTAGGGTTAGGTTAGGTTAAATTAGGGTCAACTTTGTTAGATTAGGGTTAGGTTAGGTTTGGGTCGAGTTTTGTTAGATTAAGGTTAGGTTTAGGTTAGAGCAGTATGTTATGTTATTTTAAGTTATGTTAGGTTAAGGTAGCGTTAAATTAGGTTAGGCAAGGTTAGGGTTAGCATTAGGGTGGATAATCTTAAAGTGCAGCTTATCTTTATCAACCCATAAACACCAAAGCTTAACAACCCCGGATAAGTCCTTATCACGTGACTGACACGCACACACACACACACACACTCAGGGGTCACCTGCGTATCACTGACGATTACAGAGCGGCGGTCCGGTAAGTGCTACCAGCATACTCTGTCAAGGCCTGGGCTATCTTGTCCTGTGGAAATAGTCCCTGCTGGTCCTGAGGTACAATATTACTATTTTTACAGCTGCTGATGGTAACACTGATAGTACACCAGTGGGAGATTACTTTGGATCACTTGAACATTAGCCCATGAACTTATTTATCCTGATGATTAAACATCCTAAAACTGCCTGGTAGGGTTAGGCTCGGTTAGGTTAGGTTAGGTTATACTAGGTTACGTTAGAGCTATGGATGTAAATTTTAAGGTGAAATGTCGAGGTAGGGAACGAACTTGCAACAGCGACCACAAAGAAATTAGATTCCAGTTAGATTTTCAGGTCAGACGTAAAGGGAATTCCATTAAAGTCCCAGATTTCAGAAGGGCAAACTTTGATAGTTTAAAGAGGCAGCTGAGAGAGGGGGTATCACGCTTGGATGTGAACCAAGATGACACCGACCTGATAACGAGATCTGAGATTGCCGAGTTCCACGACAATTTAAATAACGAGTTACTTAATGCACAAAGGCAGAACATACCATACAAAAAACTCAGATCAGACAACAATGACCCTAAATGGATAAATAATTATTTAAAGAACATTATTGGCCAAAGGAAGGCTATAGGTAGAAGGATAAATCGTGGCGAATTTTACCTCCGGGAGTATTATAAGGTATTGGCCGGTAGGGTTAAGACCGAGATAAGAAAAGCCAAGAGGAACTATGAACTGAAGGTAGCAGGGGAGGCGAAAACAAACCCCAAAGGATTCTACCAAATGTATCAAACTAAAACACGAGATAAGAGTGGACCAATACGTTCAGATACCGGCGAGCTAACTGATAATGATGGAGAAATGAGCAATAATCTGAATAAATATTTTTCAACAGTTTTCACCACCGAAAATTTAAACATGATACCCGAGGCACCGACTCTATTCAGAGATAGTGAAGAAAACAAATTAAGCGAGATAGTAGTGACTAGTAACGATGTTAATAAGCAAATAGATAAACTGAAGCCTAATAAGTCACCTGGTCCCGATGAGATATTTGCCA